TTTTCTTTTTCATTGGGAGCACATACCCATATTGTTTCTGGAGGTCAGAAAGAGGCATTACGTTAGATTAAAATAAAAATGGTTCACTTTAGGATATGCATTTGATGTTAGGTTTTCTTTGTAAGAATTTGAAAGAGTCCTGGTGAAATTGAAGACAGATCTACACATGCATTCATTTGCTTCATCTTACTGCCCTTTAGTCCACTTAAAAGCAAGGGTTTAAGTTATAAATGCTCTTGTCTGGTTGGTCATGTTAGGAGGTAAGCAGTAACCTTTCAAACTTTTTCTGGACATGCACTGCTGTCATCCATGGACGGCTACTGTAATGCCCCTGTGTTTGGTTTTGAGTTATGAGTAGTGTCATAAAATGTGATGACATTCAGTAAAGAGCTGGCGGGTCCACACCGATGGAGGCCTCATTCATTGACTTTTGGCGCATTGCTGAGTGCTGTTTGAACTCTGGAAGTGGTTTAATTGATGTTGATCAAGTAAGCCAGGTGATAGTATGGTCACTTATAGCTGTAATGCTGTTAATATTTTCAGGATAATGGCAGTACAAGCCTTCGTCTTTTGTTTCTACTTGAGGGGAGGTATTTGTGGTGGTTAGCTTTCATTGACTCAGCAGAGTTAGACAGAGGAGGAGGTGGAGGGAGAGGGAGGCTATGAACTGTGTGAGAGAAGGGAAGGAGACTGAGGTGTGCGGTGTAATTGGCTGTCTCTTGGGAAGGGTCCAGTGGTGCACGTGATTTACTGTGATGGCCACGGCCAGGTCGGCAGGTCATAAATGAAGACATTCAAGAGACTGCCAGGTGGCTGGGAAGTGTAAGCGGGCAGATGAGGGTCTCTGACATTAGCACTCCAGAGAGCGGTTCTTCTGCTGCTTCCTAGAGGGAAAGCCCTTCTGCAGTTGCCTGTCTGGATACAAGATAAGAAAAACGGAGACTTCGAAATCTCAGCCAAACATCAGCTAGGGAGAGGAAAATAAATGCCATCTGCTCCTTCCTTTCGGCTCTGTGGTCTATAGCCAGCTGACATTTTTTTCTTTTTGCTCTTGCTCTCATGACAAAGTCTAAAGGAATAGAAAACTAAGTTGAGTGGCACCAGAATTAGAACTGGGAAATTGCTTATTTCAGCAAGAATCAGGAAGGATAACAGGCCACTCTGCACAGTCGATTGAAACTGTGCGGTTGATTTTGAGGAGAGCAGAAGGAAGACATGGAAGAACGGTGAGCCAACCAGCAGTTCCACTCCGTGTGCTCCAGGAGCAGTGACTGCCGAGTGACCAATTCTTAGGCACAGGGAAATGAGGACCACTGACCAGTGCTGCAGGTAGTCAGCCTGCTCTTGAGAAATGGCCTAAGCAAATCCTTAAGGGTTCGTGCTGAAATGTACACCAGCTCCTCAAAGGGCATAATGGCAGTCTTAGAACAGAAGGAAAAGGCTTTTCAGTGGCGGAGGGATAGTGCTGTGGGTAAGAGTGTGTATTGTTCTTGCAGAGGTCTTCGGTGAGGTTCCTATCACCAGCACCTGTCTGGTGGTTCACAACCACCTGCCACTCCAGCTCCAGGGGACCCAGGCTCCTAGGCTCTAAGGGCACTTGACCAGGTGTGGTGGCATACTCCTTTAATTGCAGCACTCAGGAGGCACAGGCAGGGGGCTCTCTGTGAGTTTGAGGCCACCATGGTCTATAGAGTGAGTTTCAGGTGAGTTGGAGTTACTTAGGGAGACCCTGACAAAATAAACAAATATTTTTGAAGTGACTGTGCTTATTATTAGAGCCAGCATTGCTACACAGTGGCTTCTCCTGAGAAACCAGGCTGGGCAGTTGTTAGCCACGCACAGAGCCCTAGGCTTGATCCCTAATACTGCATAAACTAAGGGTAGTGATTACCCAGAACTTGGGAGGTAGAGGACAAGATACACGAAACCCTGCCTCAAAACAAAACAAAACAAAACTGGGAAACCATTCCAAAGGCGTTGAGAAAGAGTAAGAAAAGAGGGTAAGAAGGCGGATGCTTGGGAGAAAAAGTTTAGCCTTATAGCATTGGCTACCAAAATGTGAGTCCTTGGGGTCCCTGGGTCCATTTTGAGAGCTGTGAATTCAAAGCTGTTGTAATACGCTGAGATATATCATCTACTACTTTCATTGTAGTAATTCACAAAAAGTTTACCATCTTAACCGTTTTTAAGTGTACAGTTCAGTGTATTTACATTGTTATAAAACAGATCTCCAGAACTTGGTCATCTTGCAAGTCTGAAACTCGATACCCATCAAATACCAACTCCCCTTTCTTCCTCCTTCTAGCCAGTGGTCCCCAACTATTTCACTTTAGTTTCTATGACTCTGAATCCATAGAGCATCTATCTTACCGTGGCTATCTTATTTCTCTTGGTACAATGTCCCATATAGCTTGTAACGAGACTGTCTTCCTTTGTGAAGCTGAATCGTAATTCTCTGTGTGTGCCGACCACGTCTTTCTTACGCATTCCTCCACTGCTGGGAGTCTGCATTGATTCCCCCTCCTGACTTGTCGTTGCTGTTGGCCTCTTTCAGCAAGTTGACAGTGCCTCAGTGATCTAAGGGGACATTCAATTGGCTGGCTTAGCACAAATCAAGGCAGCCGTACTAAACTGTACTTGTACTCGCTGCATTTCACTTTGTGATACAGTTGTGGGGGGGCATCTAATGCACTTGGCGGCATTTTATTTACTCTGTGATGAGTAGGCATTCAGCTCTCCTGTACAACAGAGCTGTCTTGAGGGAGAACCCTTGGGCAGTCAAGCTGTGAAATACTTTTTTTTGTTTTTTACTGTGAGAAAAGCTAGTTTTTCACACTTAGGTATTTCATAGCTATTTTAAGGATCCTATCTTATGACTGGGTGTGATGGTCTACGCTTTTAATCTCAGCACTCAGGAGGCAGAGATGGGTAGATCTCTGTGAGTTCAAGATCAACCTGGTGTACATAGTGACTTTTAGGCCAGCCAGAGCTACATAATCTGTAGTGAGACTGTCTAAAAAACAAAACAAAAACAGAGGGTATGTGGGTGAAAAAAAAAATGGTTCAGTGGTTAAGACAGAGGACCCAAGTCTGATCCCAATACCCACAAGGCAGCCCACAAAGGCCTGTAACTGCCCTGCACATGGTGTTTGCGTGAGTGCGTGTGCGTGTGCGTGTGCGTGTGTGTGTGTGTGTGTGTGTGTTTGCAAAAAGCTCAGACCCGTGAAATAATATATATATCTTCAAAACTAAGAAAAGTGACATACAAAGGTTTAAACCTTAGGCCTTGTACGCGCTAGGCAAGCAGTCTACCGCCAAGTTACCCTTCTGACCTGTAGACCTGCTCTTGAAAATGAATGAAATAAGCCCGTTACCTTTAAAGGGAACAAATGTCAGCATTTAAATAGATAAAATTTGAGTTTCAAAGTGGGAATTAGAATTTTGAGTTCATTTTTGCAACTGTGAATTTGGCACTTCCCAAGATCTTAAAAGATTTTTTTTGAGAACATTGATGTTAATGTTAGTGAATTTTTTAAACTATAGAATGAATGAAATGTGTCAACATTAGGAATATTTGCATAATTAATTGAATCAATTTTTCCAATAACATTACAGAATCATGCTTTATTACAAAAAGCTATCCTTTTTATAGTGCAGGATAAACCAATAGGTTTTAAGATAGTAGAATATAAATTCTTTTGGGGAGGTAGGGCTTTTGTGTTGGCTAAGTTTTGGTAGCTCGTTTTTTTTTTTTTTTTTTGAGACAGGGTTTCACTATGTAGCTTTGGCTAGCCTGGAGCTCACTATGTAGACCAAGCTAGCCTCCAACTTACAGAGATCTGCCTGCTTCTGCCTCTGAGTGCTGAGATCAAAGGCCTGAGTCACAGCCCCTGGCTTGTTAGTTTTTTATCAACTTGACACAATCTAGGTTCTTCTAGGAAGAAGGACACCTCAACTGCGAAAGTGCCCCTGTAAGATTGGTTGGTGGCACCTTTGGGCAGCTGGTATAGGATAGGGTAGGGTTAGAAAGCAGGCTGAGCAAACCATGAGGAGCAAGCCAGTAAGCAGCCTCCTCCATGGCTTCTAGTCAGTTCCTGTCTCGAGTTCCTCTTGCTCTGACATCCAACAGTGATGGAGTGTGACCTGAAGTGTAAGATGAAATAAGCCCTTTCCTCCCCAAAGTGCTTTTGGTCATGGTGTTTATTACAGAGTAGAGACCTTAACTAAGACAGTTCCAATTGCAGAAAATCTCTAAGGAACTCTCCTTGTTTCAGGGTATAGTATAGAAGCAGAGTGTCTCCAGCATTCTGAAGGTCTGTCAACACTACTTCTCGGTCTGGGGATGTAACTCAGCGGTAGATGCTTGCCTAGCATGTGTGAGGTTCAGTCCCTACATCATTCAACCGATGAATAAACATAGATTTAAAAAAAAACTTCCCTTTTGCAGCAGGTGTGAAAGACTAGGTCATCACACACTCAGCTAAAACTGTCTGTAGCATATTGAATACCATAATGTGAGAATGTTGACCAAGGTGCAAATGACATTAGTGCAATTATGAAACAAAACCATTCGTCTAGTTTTTGTTTCAGTAAGTGTAGCATAGATGTGTGTGTGTAGTATATATATGTTGTGTTAATAGGGAATGAATTTATCATTGTTATCTAAGTGAATTAGTATTTAAACATTTGCTAGGTCTAGTGGCTCACACCTTTAACCCAGCACTCAGGAGGCAGAGGCAGGTGGACCTTTGTGAGTTCAAGGCCAACCTGGTCAATATAATGAGCTCCAGGCTAGTCAGTGCTGCACAGTGAAACCCTGTCTCAAAAAATATTTTTTACTTTATTTTGTAATATACCGAGTATACGTAGATCTAGCTTATATCCACAAAAGTTTTGGGGTCCAGTAGGATGTGAGGACCTTAGTGAAGACTCGGCAATTAACTAAAGTGAGTGCTAGTCCTCTTCATGGACCCAACTCATTTCTCTCTTATCCATCTTAGGTATTTAGCTCGGGTAGGAGACCTTGAAGCCACCAACACCGAAGACCCAAATCTGAATTATGGACTTGTGGTGGACTGTGGTAGCAGTGGCTCCCGGATTTTTGTTTACTTCTGGCCAAGACATAATGGGAACCCCCATGACCTACTAGACATTAAACAGATGAGAGACCGAAACAGCCAGCCTGTGGTTAAAAAAATCAAGCCAGGTACTAATCAGAATACATTTGTTACTAATCTCTTACGTACTGTAGGTGTATGAAGCGAAAGGGGAGGAAGGGAGCCCCCCCCCCTGTTTTTGTGGGAATCTGGGCAGTGGGAGGAATCTCTCATTTAACTATCATTCTATTTTCAAAAACATAAATGTAGTTCCTTGGACGGAACCTTCCGAGTGATTGTTTTCTGAGTCTTATGTGGTCTGCATTAAACACACACACACACACACACACACACACACACACACACACACACGTATGTACGTATAAATGTCTGGTTTTACTTAAGGGATCTCTGCAATGGCCAACACTCCAGAACATGCCAGCGATTACCTGCGACCTCTGCTGAGCTTTGCAGCTGCTCACGTGCCTGTGAAGAAGCACAAGGAGACCCCCCTCTACATCCTCTGCACAGCGGGCATGAGGCTGCTCCCTGAAAGGTGAGATTCAGGACTGTACAGGACTTGTGGAAGCAAGTCCCATGCAGCCAGCATGGAGGCAGGGGAAGACACCACAGAGTTCACAGGTGACAAAGCTGCTTGCTCAGGGACAGTGGAGCCATGCCTGTGCCCAGATTTTGCACTGTCAGGCAGCCACATCTTTCTACCATTTGTGGCTTTGGGATCAGTGTCTATCTGAGATGACAAAGGGGTTCTGAGTTTGGATTGAGGGTGTGGTGGCAGGGGTGGCTGAGTCATGAAGCAGGTATGGTGAGGCCGTATTTGCACAAAGGCAGTACAAGAGTCATCCGAGGAACAGGAGTCATGCTGGGGCTACTGGGAGACTAGGGCAGCAACTGGTGAGTCCCTCTTCTCCCTGTTGCTTTAGATAGCTTTCTCGGCCCCAACCAGTTCAGTCTTTCCCACCTGAACCCCAAATTCAGCCACATAACCTTTATTGTTATTTTTTTGAGACAGGGTTTTTCTGTGTGAAGACCAGACAGGCCTCGAACTCACAGAGATCTGCCTGCCTCTGCCTCCCGAGTGCTGGGATTAAATGTGTGCCAGCACCTTAAGAATGCTGCTGGGGTGAATGCAGAACCTAACAAGGGAGGTGCTCTGCACTATGTCTTCTCCCCTAGCTATCTGTATACATTTTAAAAAGAGGGTTACTTTTATTTTGTGTATATGACTGTCTGCCTCCACATCCGTATGTGCACCATGTGTGGAACCCACGGATACTAGAAGGCATTGGTTTCCCTGGAACTAGAGGTTATAGAAGGTTGTGAGTCACTATGTGGATATCAAGACCCAAACCTGAGTCCTCTGCAAGAGCAGCCAGAGAGTCATCCATATGTACTTAAAACATTTTTTTAACACTATGTGTGTGTGTGTGTGCGTGCGTGCGTGCGTGCGTGCGTGTGTATGTGTGTGTGTGTGTGTGTACTACCTGGGTGTGGTTGTCTATAGCTGTTGTACCATTTTGAATTCCCACTGTCAAGGGTTCTTGTTTTCCACATCTCTGCAAGTGTCTGTCTTTTATTTTTCTGGTAATAGCCAGAAACAGGTGTGGGGTGGTCTTTCCCTGCAGTGTTGATTTGCATTCCCCTCCTGTGGACCTTAAGAAATCTTCATATGCCAGTTGGCTATTTGTTTGTCTTTAGAGAAATATCTAAAGATCAAGTCCATAGTCCCATTTTAAAATCAGGTTTCTTTCCAGAACACTGTATATGTAATAAATAAATAAATCTTCAAAAAAATCAGGTTTCTTTCTATTAAGCTGTAAAAGTTCTTTTGTGTCTTGAGGACTAACTCTTCATCAGATGTGTGGTTTGTAAACACTTCACTGTAAAGCTTGCCTTTTCCTTCTCTTGGTTGTTCCAGAGGATTCTTGCTTTAGTGTGTTCCCACTTGTGGATTTTAGTTTTGTTGCCTGTGCTTTGGTGCCATATTAATGAGCTCAGTGCCAATGTTGACATTGGAATTAAGCCTCCAGGAATGATCATAGTCTTATAAGCATTGGACATTTCTTATTAATGGAAATATTTTTCCTTGGTAAATAGCAGTTTGCTTTTCCACACATTAAAATTTCCTTACTTGGTGTTTCCTAAAACTGCAATAATCAAAACCCTAGCTGTTGATGTAGTGTAGTGCCCCGCACTGCTGTACTCAGTGAACTTCTTACCTCTCTGTAGACGCAATGAGTGGTTTGCTTTCTGGCTTTGTTATGAGAGGCAGATTATTTATATAGTCGTTTGTTATCATGGGAGGCCTTCTAGTTCTCTGTTTACAAAATTTGGTTTTGATTTTATAAGCCACACTTTACATGTTAAACCTTACATCATTATAGGAAGTCCTAAAAGTACATACACCAAACCAAACAAAACTGCTCATTCTGCCTCCCAGACCTTTCGTTTTGTGTTGGTGCCTTTTCTTTGTATATCTATTTGTAATTTCTACAAAGTTATAACCATCCTGTAATTTGCATTATTTGTTTGTTTGTTTGTTTGCTTGCTTGCTTATTTAAGACAGGATCTTACTGTATAACCTCATTCACAGAGATCTACTTGTCTCTGCCACCCAAGTGCTGAGATTAAAGGCATGGAGCACTATAGCCAGCCAAGACAGAGCTTAATGTAGTGCAGTCTGGTCTCTAACTCACTGTGTAGCTGAGGATGGCCTTGAATTTGAAATCTTTCTGCCTCTACCTTCCAAGTACTGCGATTAGTGCTAGGCATGTGTGTGCATGCTACTAGGGCTGAACCTAGGGCTTTGTCCATGCTAGGCAATATTTGCATGAGTGTTTTGCCTACATGCATGTGTGGGCACATGTGTGCCTGGTGCCCAAGGAGTTCAGAAGAGGACTTCAGATCCTCTGGGACTGGAGTTACAGATGGCTGTGAGCTACCATGTGGGTGCTGGGAATTGCACCTAGATCCTTTGCAAAGCAACAAGTGCTCTTAATCACTGAGCCAACTCCCCAGCTCCCGAAGTTTTGTTTTTTGAAGTCATAATATGCTTTGTTTGTGAGCTTCTGAAACCCTGGAAGAGAACAGATGGAAGAAGGTGAGGGCATAAGGTTAGGGTGCCAGGTCATGCAGTCTGTGGCTTGCCAGAGACCCTACCACCTAGGCTGGGGAAGAAACCCAGAATAAAGGTCAAAGTGGCAGGGCCAGCCAGCAGGGCTGCTCAGAAGAACATGGGTGATGGTTTAGTCACCATTTGTGTGTCTGAAGCAAAGTAGACAGTTCATGTCCTGGCATTGCCCTGCATTGCCTCTGTCTCAGAAGTTTCCATGGAGACGAAGCTCACTGTGTAGGTCCATTCCGTTTTTCTGTGGTTAGCATGCACGTGGAAGCTGAGTGTCAGTCTGTACTAAGTCGAGCATCTTTCATTTCTCTTTACTTCTTTTCTGATCGCTTCTCAGTAATGCTTGTGTCCACTTTGGGCTAATGCAGTCAGGGTTGCTCTAAGGAAAGTCAGTTGCAGACATGCACCTTCCCATAACTGCAAGAGCCTGCTTTGTATGACTAATCCTTGCTACTTCACTAGTATTTGCAAGTAGTGCTCATGAATCATTTGGATTGCATCTGAATATATCTGCAGTAGGTTTTACTTCTTTACCAACAATCAAGAAGATTTTTTTCTACTTCCATTTTATTTTATAATGGAAATACCCTTTAAAATTACATAAAGGTATTTACAGGGTCTTATTTCACTTAATTTTAAACAAATTTTTGAGATTAATATAATTACAACATTTCTTCCTTCCCTTTCTTCCCTCCAAACCCTTCCATATATTATATCCCTCTTTACTCTCCTTCAAATTCATGGCCTCTTTTCTCATTAGTTGTTACTGTGTAGTATATCTTTGCACAAGTATGCTCCTAAAAATAACCTGCTCAGTATGTATAATGTTACTTGTGTGCATGTTTTCAGAGCTGACCATTTGGCACTGGACAGCCAGCTGGTGTGCTCTTCCCGGGAAGGCCACCTCTCTTGCTGCCAGCTTTCCTTAGAGGTCTGTGGTTCTTTGTTTAGGGTTGAGGCCTCATGGACTTCCCCATTCACTTTGGCATGTCCATTGGTGTTATCATTGTTCAGTTCGTGTTTTGGAAGTTACATTGGGGAGGTTTTGCTGTTGTTGTTGTTTTTCCACTGTAGGAAATTTCAAATATGAAAGTTTGGAAAGAGAGAGGACAGTGAAGCAAGTTTCCTCTTTAACCTACGGCTCTGTTGAGTATTTCTCAAAGTTTAAAGTAAAGAAATGATGTTGAAAATAAAAGTCGCATCCCAGTGCAGTATATGGGGAAGGTTTTTTTGTTTCTTTCTTTCGAAAACTGTCTGTCTGTCTATCTACCTATCCATCTGTATCTTTTCAAGACAGGTGTTCTCTGTGTAGCCCTGGCTGTCTTGGAACTCATTCTGTAGACCAGGCTGGCCTCGAACTCACAAAGATCCACCTGCCTCTGCCTCCCGAGTGCTGGGATTTTATTTTTAATTTTGTGTGTCTGTGTGGGGATGAGTGTGCAGAGGAGAGATCAGAAGAAACCGAAGTCACAGGTGGTTGTGACACTTGTTGGGAACTGAATTCAGGTCCTCTGCCAAAATGGCAGGCATTCCTAATTTCCAAGCCATCTCCAACCTCTGTATATTGAAAAGTATATTGAAAATCTGTTCATGTTATCATGTAGAAATAAATTGACCTCATTCCTTTTAATATCAATATGGTATTAAATTCATTATTGAGATTCTCCATAAATTATTTAACTAATTCCCTGTGGTCATCTTATTTCCCCATATTATTATAAAAAGTAATATTATGATTGCCTTTTCTTTATTACTTGAACTATATTTTTAAAAGCATAGTGGCTTACGGTTGGAGAGATGGCTAGACAGTCAAAAACATTTGTTCTCGGAGAGGACCCAGGTCCAGTTCTCAGTACCCACATGATAGTCACAACCACCCATAACTCCAGTTCCAGGGGATGTGATGCCCTCTTCTGACCTTCATGGACACCAGGAATACATGTGATGCATATACATATATTCACGTAAAACACTATATACATGGAATGGAATGAAATCGTACCTAAAACGAAAATTTGTTGAAGTATCCTGACTGAACAAAAGGTTAACCACATACAAACTTCAGCAAAGTAATACAGGCCGTTTATATCACAGACAGCAGCACAGACTGGTGGCCATCCTTCTGTGTCTTCACCAGGTCCAGCAAGCACTCGTCTGTGGGTTTGCTAAGAAGCATATTCAATCTGGAGAGATGATAGCCCCTTTTAACCCCTGTAAACTTGCTGTACAACTTTATTATGTATAATGGTTAATGATTTAAAACAGTGTACATGAGATTGTATTGGAACATTAGTTCCTCAAGTATAATTCTGTCCTTTTAAGTAGTAGCAATCTTTTTTCACTGAGTCATGTTGACAGTTATCTGACCCAGTAGACTATTCCTGTAATAAATAACTTAAAAAAGCCAAGATTGGCTGGGGAGAGGCTCAGTTGAGAAAGTACCCGAGTGTGGATTCCCCAGCCAGGTGTAGAGATGCATGACTAATCCCAGCACTGGGGCTGCCGGGCCAGCCTGTCTACCCAAACCAGAAAGTTCCAGGTTCACCGAGGAAACCCTGTGTAGAAAACAATAAGATGGAGGGCTAGAGAGATGGCTCAGTGATTAAGAGCATTTTTTGCTCTTGCAGAATTCTTGTGTTCAAACCATTTGATGGTTCACAAACATCCGTAACTGCAGTCTCATGGAATCTGATGTCTGTCCTCTTCTGCTCTTCATGAGCATCAACCTGCATGTGGTACACATGCCTACATGTAGGCAAACACACACAAAATAAAATGAATAAATCTAATTTTAAAAAAAAGGTAGGGACCAGTTGAGGAAGACACCCATTGTCAACTTCTGGCTTCCACATATGTACATTGTACACACACACACACACACACACACACACACACACACACACACACACACACACACACATGGCCTCCACATATATACATGTGCACACACACAAGGCCTCTACATATGTACATGTATACACACATATGGCTTCCACATATGCACATGTGTACACACATACAACTTCCACGTGTATACATTGTACACATATGTACATGTGTGCATACACACCTCCCCATAGGTACATGTATTTGCATGCCTGTATGAACACACATGCACACATACATATGCACGCACACACACATGCTGCACTTGTGCACATGTACACATTTACACACACACGGGCACAGTGCAAATCTAAGATGACTACTAGTCTCATTTTAACTAATTTTCCTTGATTGGTTTTGTAATCCTTTTTTATTTTTACTTTGTCTAATAATCCTAGGAAAACATTCAAAACCTCGGAAGAAATGCCTATATAGATACAAAATTTCAAATGTCACCCTTGAAGTGGATATTATTATGACCTTTGGGTTCTGAACCTCATCTGGGTTTTTCAAATGATAAGATTTTTATAAAGAAAAAAAAGCCAACCTTTGAAACATGGAAAAGTTAATTGTTAGCTCATATAAAAGATTATATAAAAGCTTGTGGAACTCACAGCAGAGTTCATGTGGTCACGTGAGGCATTGTTTGTCTTGTGTGAGATCTGAGGGTGAGTTTGTGTCCTGTAATTGACATCTTCCTCTCATAGTAGTTAGGAATAATGTAGTTCTGAGTATTTTACAGCTGGTGAATCTGTGTTGTCATTTCCTGTGACTTACTTATACCTTCCCAGAGGCATACAGTTACAGCGTTATTTAAGGTGAAGGAACTCTAGCTAGCCTGAGCATTGCAGACATGGCTCAGGCAGGCTTTCCCCTTCTCCCCACTCCCTCTACCTTGCTAAAAACCCTTGATTATATCCTAAAGCTAGCCTCCAAGGTCTAGTCCCTTACTTGGCCACTTCCTCCTCCTGAGGCTGACTACCAAAGTCCAACTATCAAAGTATTGAAGTCCAGCAATCAAAGGCCCTCCTTAGTTTATCTAATTAACATTCCCAGTTAAAATTAAACACCTCATTCTAGGACAGGGTTTCCCCTTTTTATAAACCACCATTTGCCTATGAGCCGTGTCTGTCTCCTTTCTATTCAAAGGCAGTCATTTGTCCCCCTTCTGGGACAACTTCCCCTTCCCCTTCTTCCTGGCTCCCTTCCATTTCTCCCTTGGCCTCTGTCTCTTCATCTTTGTCTCTTATTTTCTGCCCTTTCTCCCTCTGGGACAAATAAATCTCCTTTGTGCGGAGAACTTGGTCTTGGGGATCCTGAGCTGATACTGGTTCCTAAGTAAGGGATGTTGCCTTTGTGTGGGAGGCTGTTTGGATGTGGTTTGAACTTCTGAAGTCAAAATAGGAACCAAAGCGGAAAAGAGCTAGACAAGCGGATGGGGTGGATGGAGAGGCAGTGTAGAAGACGAAATGGAAGGGCAGTTTGTGAAAAGAGGGCTTTGTTTTCTTTAAGAGATGGGGCTCACAGTGTTTCCCAGGCTAGCCCTAGGCTCCTGGACTCAAGCACTCCTCCTGCCACAGCCTCCTGGGCCACTTTGGTGCCAGGTGAAAAGATGGTTGGTTAATAATTGACGTTGGGATTTTTTTGTTCTTCTTTTGCAGGCAGCAGTTGGCTATCTTGGCTGATTTAGTGAAAGATTTGCCGTTGGAGTTTGACTTCCTCTTTTCACAGTCTCAGGCCGAAGTGATCTCTGGGAAACAGGAAGGTACTGGGCTGGCAGGGTAGAGCTGAGTCTCCTCTGAGCTGGTCAGGGTTAGTTTCCTCATCAGGTGCTTGGGATTGCTACGTGTGTCCGATTTCCACTTCCCTGTCAAGATTGTCTTGATTCAGCTGTAGAGTCTGTTTGTACATCCTGCACTAGTAGTCTGTTTCAGATGCTGCTTCTAGAAGCCTCACATTTATATATGGTTTTAACTTAGCAGGAAGCACTACACCTAGTATTTAATGGTGGTTCCAAAGGATCTGTCATTAGTCAATGTCACTTTTGGAAACATTCAGTTCTAGGAATTATGAGGAGTTTTTCTAATTTAAATGTGAAAGCAAGTTATTACATTAAGGTGTGGCAAGACCTTAATTCAGGAAATGATTAGGTTGAGTTACTTTTGTTCTGCTTTGGGCTTTTCTTTTATTGTAATTACTATATAGTTTTGTTGCTTCCGTTAATATATCACTGCATTGATATTTTCATGTGGTCCAGGCGTGTCCAGAATGATCAGGTGCTAACTCTTCTTTTCTGCTTTTGAGACAAGGTCTCACTCTGTAGTCATTGCTGCTCAAGAACTTGCTGTCTGTCTTAAAACTTAGAGCAACCCTCCTGCCTCTGCTTCCTAGTGCTGTGATTACAGGCATGCATCAACATGCCCAACTATTCCCCTTTTTTTTTTTTTTTTTTTGTGAGTCAGGGTTTCTCTGTGAATCCCTGGCTGTCTTGGAACTCAATCTGCAGCCTCAAACTTAGATCCAGCCTATTCCCATCTCTTGAAAGAGGTGATCATGGGGCTAGGAAGATGGTTCAGTTGGTAAAGTACTTGCCACAAGCATGAGGACTTGAGTTAGGTCCTTCCACACTCACAGAAAATGCCGTGTGTGGTGACACATACCTGTAACCCAGAGCTGGGGAGGCAGAGGCAGGGAGTCCCTTCAGTTTGCTGACTAGCCAGCCTTGCTGAATTGCCGGGAGACCCTGTCTTCAAAGCATAAGGTGGAGAGTCACACACACACACACACACACACACACACACACACACACACACACGTGCGACTAAAGAACATCATTTTAAAGGGGGTGATTTTATATGTCTTCTAGTTGCAGCCCACTAAATTAAAGCTTTGACATTACCGTTTGTATTTTCCCATGTGTATCAGCCAGTGGCCAGTCTGGGACTGGGTGATGAACTGCACCACTGTTCAGTTCCTAAAGCTGTGAGTATATTGTGTAGGTCAGATCCATGCATGTGTTTATTCGCAGCTTCGCTCAGTGTCCTCACAGCTTTCCTGACATTTTTTGCTTCCTGGGAGCTCTTGTCATGGTCCTCTGGTCAGGAAATAGGCTTTCAGTTTGTCTACTCAGCCAAACTGTGATTGCATCTGCATCCAGAACCAAGTGGCTGGGGAACCAGGGAGAAAAACAAAAGCAATGCATATTCCCCATGTGCCTCAGGCGATAGCTCCTCTGACCAAAGAGAATTCCTTTAGCACTTTAGGTATCTGCCTATCTGTACCTTGTCTGACAGAGGCAAGCCAGGCCCAGTGTGGTGGCACAAGCCTGTAATCCTAGTACTTGGACTCAGACAAGAGGATTGCCCCAAGTCTGAAGGTACTTAATGAGGTGAATTGCAGGCCAGCCCTGGCTACAGAGCAAGACTGTCAATAACAAAATGGAAAAGTCTGGGAAGATGGCCCGTGGTGAAGTTTTTATGGTGTTTGCACCAGGGGCTGACCTTGGATCCCCAGGCATGATAGCATGTGCCTGTAAACCCATCCCCGTAGGGCAGACATGAGAAATCCTGGGGCTTGGGGGCCAGTTGGTCTTGCTGAGTTAGTGAGCTCTGTTCAGTGAGTGACCATGTCTCCAAAAAGTAAGATATAGAACAGTAGCGGAAGATTATACACAGATACACACACACACAGACACACAGGTATACATGCACAGATACATACATACACACACACACACACACACACACACAGACACACATCACCACCACCACCACCAACACCAACAACAACAACTAGACAGACAAGCAACAACAAATCCCCCTGGAGTTCCCACCTACTGCCTCCGACCCTTTGGAGTCTACTTTCCTACTTTTTGAGCTAGAAAGCAGTCTGGAAGTTTTTCTATCCACCCCTGATACACTCTTTATCTCAAACTGCTTTTGAGTTGAAGCCAAGGAATACCTACGGGGGGGGGGGGTGAGAGAGTCTAGTTTGGGAACATTTTACTTTCTTGCCTCTCTGTGTCCACTTATTTCAGTAGGAAACAGGTTTCTCTGTCCCACCCCGTGCAGGCCTATAGTTCAGTTACTAACCAGCTCTGACATTTAAATGAACCCATTTCTGTTAATCTATTTATTACCATATGGTCTGTGGCTTACCAGTCCTCTGGCATTTGTTCCTCAAGCAGTGGCCTTCGTCTCCCCTGACTCTGCCCCTCCTCATCTGAGTCCTCAGTTTGGTTGTTCCCCCTAACCTTACCCTGCCATGCCATAGGCCAAGCAGATTTTATTATTAACCAATGGGAGCAATGCATATTCACAGCATACAGGAAGACCATTCCACAGCACAGAGTTCTTACAAAACTGCTGTGTGTATTCCACCCAGAGATTATATTGGTGTCTTGGGGGGACACTGGGTTGGTGCATTCCCCCACTTTTCTCAGAAGCAACACCTGCAAGACTTTCCTCCCCCAGTGCCAAGATCAAACCCGAGCCCTCGTTCATGTTGAACAAGTGGGCTCCCACTAAGCTGCACCCCAGGACCCCTCCCATCTCTCTCTCAGCAGGGTCTCACCATGTATCCCTGGTTGTCTGCAACAAGTTGTGTAGATCAGTATGGCCTCATTCATAGAAATCCACCTGCCTCTGCCTCTGCCTCCTGAGTGCTGGGCCTAGAGACATATGCCATGGGCCTCGATGCACTTTTAAACTTTTCTTTTCTTTTGTTTTTTCAAGACGGGATTTGTCTGTGTAACAGTTCTGGCTGCCCTGAAACTCACTTGATAAACCAGGCTGGAGTTTTAAACATTTTTTTTTGTGGGAGAGTTGCTTTTTACAATTAGTTCCTATTCTTTGTAGAATTATTAGAAGTTACAAATTATTGTAGAAGGGAAGAAAATCACATAAGATGTAGGTGATTGGGGATGTAGGTAGTTAACATGTATGAGCCCCAGCTCCATTAGGGATGGGGTGGAGAGCAGTGTGCTAGATGGAGGGGGAGAGAGAGAGAGAGAGAGAGAGAGAGAGAGAGAGAGAGAGAGAGAGAGAGAGAGAGAGAAGATTTAAGGTCCGTGCACTATGAGTATGAAGTAGACAGGGATGGGAGAGATGACTCAGCAGTTAAGAACACTGGCTGCTCTTCCAGAGAACCTTGGTTCAGTTCTCAGCACCCACGTGATAGTTCATAACTGTCTATTCCAGGGAATCTGGCACCCTCACACAGAAGTACATGCAGGCAAAACATCAATGCACATATAATAAAAATAAATAAAAGTTTTTAAAAAGTATGGAGTGGAGGGGGCTGGAGAGATGGCTCAGCGGTTAAAAGCACTGACTGTTCTTTCAGAGGTCCTGAGTTCAATTCCCGGCAACCACATGGTGGCTCACAACCACCTTGAATGAGATCTGGCGCCCTCTGCTGGCATTCAGGCAGAAGGCTGTATACACAATAAATAAATAAAATATTTAAAATAAAATAAAAAAAGTATGGAGTGGAATATTATGGTTCTTTTTTTTTTTTTACTTTCCCAGGAAAAGAAGAAAGAAAGGTACCTTTGGGAGGGGTATGGTCCAGCAGTAGAGAATTATAAGAGGCCTTTTCCATTTCTTCCTTAGGAGTTTATGCGTGGATTGGAATTAACTTTGTTCTGGGGCGATTTGACCATGAAGATGGTAAGTCAGTTCTGCCCTGTGTGATTTTCCAAGGGCTGCAGCTTCTCTTACATGCTTGTTACGAGAGCAGACACACAAATCATCCAGTGTGTGTCTGCTCTCGTTCCACAGAACACATTAAAAATGAATCTTCCGTTGTTGTTATAGTTTAAACGTTATTTATTATATGTGCCTGAGGGTAGTATGCATATGCTGTGGTACATATGTAGAGGCCAGCATGCTAGAGTTGGTTCCCTCCTATCCCTGTGGACACATAGTTGAAATATTATATCTAAGCCATTTGAAGTAATTCTCTGTATGATGTACACTCGATAGTTAGATTCATTTATTTTAATTAATTTATTTTCAAGTTCAAAGCCAGAACTTTTGCCAGATAAGCCATCTTGCTGGCCTGGCAAATTTTTTTTTTCAGAGAGGGTGGGGGTAAGAAGGGGCTGGGAATGTCTTTCCCTTTGGACTTCAGTTTTATTTTTAATTATTTGACTCCTGTGTCATTGATTTCAGAGTCAGATACTGACACTTCCCTGGACTCTGCAGTGGGACGCAGGAGGACCGTGGGGATATTGGACATGGGAGGAGCTTCTCTCCAAATTGCCTATGAAGTCCCTACCTCAGCCTCTGACCTTCCTCCCAAACAGGTATTTTGCCTTGTGTGGAAATTCAGTTAGAAATGCCAGAGCTGGTGAAGGAAGGTCCCTCTTTGAAGCTGTACTGCCTGGGACTGGAGTTCTGGATCTGTTCAGATAGTTGCTAGCTTCTTTTCTCTTCTCTTCTCTTCTCTTCTCTTCTCTTCTCTTCTCTTCTCTTCTCTTCTCTCTCTTCTCTTCTCTTCTCTTTCCTTTGTTTTCTCTTTCCTTTGTTTTCTCTTTCTTTTTCTTCCACTTGGTAGATGTGGGTCTCACTGTGTGGCCCTGACTGGCCTTTGACTCATTAAAGGCCTGTGCCTGTCACCACCCTGGCACTAGCTTGTATATCTTGAACAAGTTACCCCTGAGTCTGAGTGTCCAAGAGGCATAATAGTATCTATCTTACAGAGTTGTGAGGAGATCAGTGGGAAGTGCTTAGCAAGTGGCCCACTTATGATAAGTGCCTGATACATGTTAGCAGTTATAATGAATACTGTGTATCTTTGGGGGTGCCTGATACATGTTAGCAATTATAATGAATACTGTGTATCTTTGGGGGTGCCTGATACATGTTAGCAGTTATAATGAATACTGTGTATCTTTGGGGGTGCCTGATACATGTTAGCAATTATAATGAATACTGTGTATCTTTGGGGGTGCCTGATACATGTTAGCAGTTATAATGAATACTGTGTATCTTTGGGGGTGCCTGATACATGCTAGCAGTTATAATGGATGCTGTGTATCTTTGGGGGTGCCTGATACATGTTAGCAGTTATAATGGATGCTGTGTATCTTTGGGGGTGCCTGATACATGTTAGCAGTTATAATGGATACTGTGTATCTTTGGGTGTGCCTGGAGAGTAAATATACAGGTCAGTCCTGGATACCATTCCCTTCCTCTTCCTTTCCTTCAGCTCTAATGCTGTTTACCTATGTGTTCATGTGTGTGGGGATACACACATTTGTGTGCACATGTATGCGGATGTCGATGTGTCACCTGACCTTGTGTCACCTTCCTCCTTGAGACAGGGTCACTGAATTTAGAACTTGCCTGTTAGACTGGCTAGTCAGCAAGCCCCAGGGGTCCCCTCTCATCCCCAACCCTGAGATTATAGACATGCACTGCTACTGTGTGTGCGTGGCTGGGGGATGGGTGCTTGGGTAGTGAGAGTAATATGGAGATCCAAGATTGACAGTACACACCACTCTTCCATGTGAACAGTAGGGACCAAACTCAAGCCTTTGCATGGCAGGTACTTTACTGAGTCCTCCTAGTCCCTTAAGAATGCATTTGATGCTAACTTTTATTTTTCTCTTTGTAGCTCTGCAGATTAATCTCAGGGTCCTGCAGATGCTAGGCAAGTGCTGTACCAATGGGTTGCATCTCCAGTCAAGAATGTATTTTTAGGGAGAGGATTCCATTATAGAGAGAAAGAGAAGCCTCTTTGTCTGTCTGTGTTTTGTTTGTTTTGTTTTTTGAGACAGGGCTTATCTGTGTAGTTTTGGAGCCTGTTCTGGAACTCACTCTGTAGATCAGGTTGACCTTGAACTCCCAGAGATCCTTCAGCCTGTGCTGGGATTAAAGGCGTGCACCTCCACCGCCAGGCTCTGAGAAGCCTCCCTTTTTAAACGTGACGTATACACAGGAAATAGGCCATGCTAGTTGCATTGCCTCCAGAAGTCAGTGAGTCAGCCAGCGTCAGGAAGTCCTGTAATTTGATCTAAATCAGTGGCTCTCAACCTGTGGGTTTCAATCCCTTTGGGGGTTTGAACAGCCCTTTCCCAGGGGTTGAATGACAAACATCCTGCATGTCAGAGAAATACATTACGATTCATAACAGTAGCAAAATTACAGTTATGAAGAAGCAATGGAAATAATTTTATAGTTGGGGGTCATCACAACATGAGGAACTGTATTAAAGGATTGCAGCATTAGGAAATCGGAGAACCACTGATCTAAATGATTGTTTCTCCCCCTTGGTGCTGTTGATATTTGGGGCTGAATAGTTGTGTGTGGCTAGGTATACTACAATGTTTAGTATTGCCGATGGTTGAGACCCTCGTAATAACAGCTGTGAGGACATAGGGACCAGCAGGGTCAGCCCCATTTGTGAAGGCTCGAACAGGAGCCGTGCTGTTTCCTGTTCATGGAAGGTGATCTGTTTGCCTGTGTGTAGGATCAGAGTTAAAGCTGAGCAGAGATGTCTCCCGCGTCACAGTGTATACAGAGGCACAGAGAAGGCAGCAGAGTCTGGAATGTCCCAGGAGTGCTCAGTGGCCTGATCTAGGGTAGGAGTTTCAGGGGAAGGTTCTGGGGAGAGAGGATGGAATTGGATCATTAGGAGTCTTGAGTGTTGTCAGAGGGGACTTGGTTTTAAGTTCTGTTGCTTGTAAAGATCCAGCGAAAGTTTCAAGCAAGGCGTCATATGAGCGTCAGTTCCAGTTAGGCAAGCTCTAAGGTCCTTCCCAACTAAGTTTTGTGGTCACATTGGCTGTGTGCTGGTCTGTATTTTAGGAAAATAATTTTGGTGTGAGTAGGAATGTAGGTGAGAGTCTTGAGTGAGAAGTTTCAGGGTTCAAGTAGAGAATACAAATGGAACTGGACAGAAGGGGATACATTTCAGCAAATATTTGGAGCAGAAATCCAATTATATTTAGCTAAGTGGGTGTGGTGGTGTGAGAAGGACAGGGACAGATCAGCAAAAGTCCTGATGGTCCAGGCTGGGGAACGAGGAGGCTGAAGAGCCCAGTGAAGAGAGGAGAATTCGGGGGAAGAGCAGGCAACAGAGGGTCCTGAGCCGGGGTCACAGTGAATGGTGGGATCCTGAGCTGGGATCACAGCATCTTTTTGATGTGTAGCTCTGAAGTCCTAAGGCTTCGTGAGTTAAAATGATTCACATCTGTGGTCATTGAGTGTGAGGTCTTCAGTGACTTGTGTGCACAGGTTTAGAGAACAGCAGTGGAATACTTGACAGCACAAACCAGGCTCAGGCCCAGCCGTGCAGTCACTCAAAGATGCACGCATGCTAGTGCTTGGTTAAGAAGCAAAGACTGCGCAGCATTGCATGGAACACAGAACGTTTCAACCCTGCCACAAGGAAACTCTATAGTCCTTAGCAGTTATCTCCCATTGTCCCATCTTGCCATCACCTACTCTCATCTAGGGATCTGCCTATGCTGGTATTTTCATATAATGAAATCATACAGTATGGCCCTTTACGTCTGACACCTAGAAAAATGTTCGCAAGGTAATGGACATTGTGGTGTGTGTCAGTACATCACTGGTTTTGGTGGCTGAGTAACTGTCCATTGAGTCACCATTCCACGTTTCATTGATTCATTCATCATTGGATTCATAATTGAGTTGTTTCCACATTTAGGCTATTATAGATAGTAGTGCTGTGAAGATTCATGAACACACTTTTGTGAAGACATAAGTCTTTAGGTCTCTTGGGTATAAATCTAGGAGTAGAGTTGCTAGGTGCAGTAATATGTTCACAAATTAAAAACACACAATCTAAATAGTTATTTTCACTTTGCAATAATTTGTTTTTAAAAATTTACATGAGAAGCACATTGGGATGGTCATTCATAGTGGGGGTAGGGCTAGGACTGAACATGAGGATGGACAGGAATGATTGGACCAGAAGAGGGGCTGTGCTATGGATTGGAGGATGAGCTCAGGGACATAATTTAATCTCAGCACTTAGGAGACAGAGACAGGTGAATCTCTGTGAGTTTGCAGCTATCCTGATCTACATGCTGAGTATCAGACCATCCATGGCTACACAGTGAGACCCTGCTTGAAACAAAAAAATAAAAAACACCAAACAACAAAACCTCCCTTATTTTGAAGATAAAACTGAACTTTCCCAAAGCCCAAACCTATCGCAGGAAATGGTAAAGCTTTTTGAATAGTTCTCGACAAAGTCATAAAATAGTTCTTACGATGATCTTTGTTAAAAGATTTTTTTCTAGTTATGAAAGGAGTAGTTCCCATAGTAGAGAACTGGAAAATACAGAAGTCCATACCAGAAAATGGCATCAACTATAAATGATCCCACTCCCCTGCGTCAGCTGCTTCTCTCGTTGCTCTCACAAAATACCGGACAAAAACAAGAGGAAGAGTCATTTTGGCTTCCATTTTGAGGGGACACAGTTCATCATGATGGGGACGGCATGGCAGGGGTGAGACAGCTGGTCACATGACATCTGTAGTCAGGAAGCAGAGAAGGGTGAATGCAGATGTTCAGCTGCTGTTATCTCTTCATTCAGTCAAGACACCAACCCTTGGAACTGTACTGCCCTCATTCAGGGTGGTCCCCTCTTCGGTTAAACCCCTTGGGAAATGACCTCACATACACACACACACACACACACACACACACACACACACACACACACACACACACGGCCTTGCTACGAACTCAGATTGTCTTTGAATTTGTGATCCTCCTGCCTCAGCTGCAGGGGTGCTGGGATTACAGGAGTGCATTACTGCGACTGGCCATGAGATCGGAAGGCAATTTTAAAGAGCAGTCACAGAAATGGAGCTGCGTGGATTCACAGTGCCACCATTTTCTAGAATGGAACTAAAACCCTTTTTTTTTCCTTGATGTTTTGTTACAGGAAGAAGAGGCCAAGATCCTGTTGGCTGAGTTCAACTTGGGCTGTGATGTGCAGCACACAGAGCACGTGTACAGGGTCTATGTCACCACCTTTCTGGGCTTTGGAGGCAACTTTGCCCGGCAGCGCTATGAAGAGCTCGTGCTGAATGAGACGCTTAACAAAAACAGGTACCGATGACACGGAACCCTCATTTCCACCAGACTGCAGATGTTAGCAAAGAGTGACTTCCTGCTACGATGGCTAAGCTCCTCCTTTTCTGCCACGTCTCGGCCTCTGCTCTGCGAGGGTGCATTCTGTTCTGTAATAGTAAGGACTTTGCTGTATCCACAGCCACACCTGACATCATGAGCTCTTTGTGGCTAGGAAAAGTGGATTAGCTTCTCAGACGTGAGAGTTACGTTTGCTCATGTGCATTAAAGTTAACAAGTACACACAGTTAAATTTGCCTTTAAAGTAGTGTCCAAGTTTTGAATGGTCAGTTTTTCACCCAGAACTGCAGAGATCACTGATTTCCTTAGAAAGGTTTTATTTTTACTCATGTGTTTGTGTATGTGCTTGAATGTGTGGAGGTGTCTGTAGGCATCAGAAGAGGTCATTAAATTCCCAGGAGCTGGAGTTACAGTTGATTGTGAACTGCCCATGTGGGTGCCAGGAACTGGTCTTGGGTCCTCTTCAAAAGTGGGACATGGTCTTAGCCGGGCGTTGGTGGCGCACGCCTTTAATCCCAGCACTCGGGAGGCAGAGGCAGGCGGATCTCTGTGAGTTCGAGGCCAGGCTGGACCGACAGCCTCCAAAACAGAGAAACCCTGTCTCGTAAAACAAACAAACAAAAAAAGTGGAACGTGGTCTTAACAGCTGACCACTCTTCAGGCCCAAGATCACTGATGTTATGTTCGATTACCCTCAGGCCATAATGAATAGCTCTGAAGTAATTGTTCTTATTTGTTTGTTTTGATTATTTTAAAGTTATTTATCATTGTGAGGAAGATACAATAAACAACGATTCTTTTCTATCAAACAATTATGTACATCCATTGGTTTAGCAAGAAAAACTAACCTAAAGAGGCACCATTGTATCCCACTTGTAGTAATTTCTCCATAGCATTGTCGTAGATTGAGAGAATGTTGAATACTGTCTCATCAGCCTTTTTAATGATTTAAACCTCCATCACTGAGTTAGTGGGCTCTGGTGGATTCAGGTGTTCTGGAAGATTGCATGAACATCCGCAGAGTGTTTTTGTTAGTTCGCACAAGCTGACTTGAACTGGGGCATTCAGCTCCTGCTGGTGCTGTGATCATTGGAGATCCCTGGCTTTTCAGAAAGCTTCCCATAGGTGCCAGTTCATTCCTTCTTCAGTGGCTGCTGCACTCCCAGCCTGTGCTGTGCTCCAGCCTGTGCTGTGCTCCAGCCTGTGCTGAGCTCCAGCCTCTGCTGAGCTCCAGCCTCTGTTGTGCTCCAGCCTCTGCTGAGCTCCAGCCTCTGTTGTGCTCCAGCCTCTGCTGAGCTCCAGCCTCTGTTGTGCTCCAGCCTCTGCTCCACTCCAGCCTCTGCTGAGCTCCAGCCTCTGCTGCGCTGTGCTCTTCCTTCTGTTGCTCCTGCTGGGCTGCATCCATCCACTGCCTTGGTGCTTTCTGGCCAAGCTCTGAAGTTGTCTACTTTAGGATTGTTGAGGTCAAAGTGTGGCTCCCATAACTGCCAGTCTACCAGATAAACCTGTCCTCCTGGGACGGTTCTCACTCCCTGCTGAACAGTCTGAGTTTTCCTTGTAGGTAGTGACATGTCTTTAAAATAGTTGGATTCTGTTTATTCCCAGGCATTCTGTTGTGTCGCCCCTTCCCGTGTCCTCCTTCAGTTTCCAATCGTTCTTTAGGCTTCCCCCGAAAAGTGCAGGAGTTTATCTGTCTACTTACTAACTGCTAATGAACAGCTAGTGCAGTTAGCAGTGGTCTCCATGTGACTTCTATCCTTGGCCAGACCTGCATATTAATCTCCTTAGTAAATGAGAACACGTTTGCTAGACAAGTATAGACTGGAGAGGTAAAACTGTATGATACCAGTAGTCAAGTCCTGTCCCTCCCCTCCCATTTAGCAGCTGAGGGATTTGTGGGCTAGTCCCTGGAGCTGTCACTGTGTCTGCTCTGTCTGCTGTCCCAGCACCACTCACTCAAGGCCAGATGCTGTTACTGTGGCACGGCTGGGTTCCCTCTTCAGGGAGCTCTGTCTGAGTTCTTCCCACTTTGTCTCTTCTCAGGTGTGTGTGTGTGTGTGTGTGTGTACACATGTTGATATGTGTGAATGTGGGCATGTGTTGGTCATGGGACACTTGAGGCCTTGGGTCAGTCCTTACCTTCACCTTGTCGACAGCAGGGCCTCTCATTTTTGTCCACTGTCACCACTCTGGAAGTGGCGGGGCCTGGGAGAATGGAGCTGATAAATGAAGTAGACTGAGCGATCGCCAACTTTATTCAGAGCCTCAGACAATTTATACTCCCAGGGTTAAGAAAGGTCACATGAGTTCAGGCTGTACACAGTCACAAGGACAAGCCACACGTGGCAAAAAAAAAGCATGTTTTCCATAGAGGCATATAAAGGATAGTTTAAACATTTATTGAATAACAGCAACAAGCAATGTTGAGTGAACTGAAGTAAACTCACTCCTGTCTGCTACACCTGGGAGACGGTGAAAACAGTCCAAGAACAGTTCTGTGTTTTGAAGAAACTGAGGTCACAAGACTCTTGTCTTTTTTTCTTGGAGCTTTTTCACAAGCACTCAGAATTCTCACACGAAGCCATTCCTGGACCATATTCTGTTAGTCTACTGCTGGGCGCACCAGGCTCTCTGGGAGTTTTCTGTCTGCCTCCCATCTCCCTGTCAGGCACTGGCTATTCCATCGGCTCTGAGCATTCAAACCCACAGACTCACACTTGTTGAGTGAGTGCTGTGTCCACTGAGCCATCATCTCTCCAGCCCCCAGCTGTGTGTTCAACAGGAAAATCCCTTGTGCATTTCAGATGTGGGAAGGGAGACTAGCAGATTCACAGCTCCTGTTAGACTCTACACTGGGAAATGTGATGATAGGGTTGAGTAAAATCCATCACTGGTGCATCTCTTCTTGCTAACTTAATTGGCCTAACTTTAATATGTGCATGTTGCTGCTGCATAGTAATACTGAGTCCTTGTTGCTATGGTTGTCATTGAAAATCAGAAGGTATTTGTGAAGTGAACTTAGTTCTCAGAAGAGGTCAGGGTCAACACTCTCACATTCTGTTTTTGTCATTGTGACAGATTGCTGGGCCAGAAGACAGGCCTGAGTCCTGACAACCCATTTCTGGACCCCTGCTTGCCCGTGGGACTCACAGATGTGGTGGAGAGGAACAGCCAGGTCCTGCATGTCCGAGGAAAGGGAGACTGGGCCACTTGCAGGGCAATGCTGAGCCCCCTGCTGGCCCGCTCCAACACCAGCCAGGCCTCGCTGAATGGCATTTACCAGTCACCAATTGACTTCAACAACAGCGAGTTCTATGGCTTCTCCGAGTTTTTTTACTGTACAGAGGACGTGTTACGCATCGGTGGCCGCTACCACGGGCCAACATTTGCCAAGGCTGCCCAGGTAATTCATTAATAATCACAATGACTCATGCTGGCAGCTGCCATTTAGTGGATGCCTGCCTTTGTGCCAGGCAGTGAACAAAGGGCTTTGCATGCATGATCTCACTTGAGTCTTTATAAGGGCCTATGAGGCCTCATTTTATAGAGGAGAAAGTGACCTCAGAGGTTACGGGACCATCGCTGCTAAACTGCCTTCTGGTTGATTATGTTAGGTTTCCATGGATGTATAATCACTGGGGTATAAAATTGTTCTAATGGTGCATAGTTAGCTTTTCTTCCAACTTCCCTAATGCTTATACTCAAAGATCTTGTCCGTTTTCCCCTTTGCTAGGTGTCTGGCTTGTAAGGTCCTCTTGGTGGACGGGTCTGTTTTTCTTCTCTTGGTTTGAGAGGCCAGAGTTGGGGCTGCAAAGATGGCTGAGTGGCTAAGCAATTGTTGCTCTTCCAGACGACCAGTGTTCAGTTCCCAGCATCCATGCTGGGTAGCTTACAACAAACTGCTGTAAAAATCTAGCTCCAGGGGCCCTAATGCTGTTTCCTGGTCTCCTGGGACAACCCCCCTCCCCCACCCCATGCATGCATGAGCACACACACACACACACACACACACACACACACACACACACACACAAACCAAAAAAAAAAATCTTTAAAAAGAGGCCAGAATGGTATAAGGTCATTGATAGGTGTTGTAAGCCCCAGTGATGGCAGAAATATTTTTCTAAGTGAAAGACTAAAAATTCACCTTGCACATATATAGAACTTAAACATCTTACAGGCTCATGTCTGTAGTCACCAGCCCAGCTAAAAATTTGATCAGCTCTCTGTATTCCCTGCCTTAGTTTAGAGTCTGTGTTATTTAAGTGTTTTTTTTTTTTTTTTTTTTTTTTTGGTTTTGTTAATTGTTTTTGAGACAGAGTCTCACTGTGCTGCCCTGGCTAGCCTGGAACTTGCTATAGAGACCTCTCAAGTGCTGGGATAAAAGGCATGTATCATCACACCTGATTTTGTTAGTCAATTAAAAAAGATCAGTAAACCAGGCAGTGGTGGCACACATCTTTCATCCCGGCACTCAGGAGACAGAGGCAGGCAGATCTTTGTAAGTTCGAGGCCAGCCGGTGTACAGAGTGCATGCCAGCATAGACTCCAAAGCTACACAGAGAAACCCTGTCTCAAAAACCAAAAAAATAAAAAAGAAAGAAAACATCAATAAAAATAAAAAGATCACTGTAACAAAATACTTGCAATGTTGAACTTAAAACAAGTTTGTTTTGTCTCACAGTTTAAAGGTTCCAGTCCATAGCCACCTGGCCCCTTTGCTTTGGGCATATCATGGTAGAAATACATGGTAGAGCCGAACTGTTTACATCATGAGTCTGGGAGCACAGAGAGTGTAGAGGGAGCTAGGGTCCCATGATGTCTTTAGTGAGCTCCCTCAGTGAGCAGCTCACTAGTCAGTCCTCATTTAAGGACTGTGTTCTGCCATGTCCCAACAGTGCCACACAGGGGCCAAGTCTAATACATGAATCTTAGGGAACATTCTAGATTCAGCAGAGTCATGCCTTTGATTTTTATATAATTTTGGGATCTGTCTAAGAGACAGAGATGGAAAGAATCTTGTATTTTTTTATGCTTTCCTTTCTTCTTCTAGATTCCTAAGGTTCTCTTGGGTAAACTTCCAGTAGACCAGTTTCTGCTGTCCCACCCCAGAGGGAGTACTGGGGAGCTCCTGCTTCACGCCGCTCCTTCTCCAGCCGAGGGTCCCTTCTTCCTTACCTCCCACAGTTCAGGGCTCCCTGACTGGCCTGGCTTGGGTCTTTTTATTGTCACAAAGATGCTTCAGTTTCTGTGGTTTTGAACACAAAGGGCTCAAGCGATTGCTTAGCCAAGTCATTAGTGACTTAGGAAGTTTTCTGAGGTAAAGGAAGTTGTTCCTTGAGTTTTTAAAATTCCAGTTTTAAATAGTTGTCTTCTCGCCTTCCCCAGGTATGCTATCACAGTCACCACTCTTCTCATATTACCCATTGCCTTCCCGGCTTTATTTTCCACTCAACACTGCCGTCTTGCACACTCTCTGATGCCCATTTGTTTATTCTCTTACCAGTAGAATGGAAGCTTCATGGGGACAGAATATTTTTTTCCCTCATCACTTCATCCCCTGGCACATAGAGAGTATCCGGTGCCCAATTGTCAGATGTTCTTTGCCTAAGCCAACTGAAAGCAGTTCATTGAGAGTTGTGACTCCAGACAGGCTGATGGCAGCTACTCTCCTTGTCCGTATGAGTTCTCTACAGAGTGGGAGGGAACTAGTTCCCTGGCTTTTGGTATTATTCTTACTCCTGACCTTCAGGCTCTCTGATGCCTACCGGGCTCAGGAGCCAGCTTTCACCGTTTTGCATTAGAATGGAAGCCCTGGGAGCAGAGGAGGCATGGCATCGTGTTCAGTGGTCCAGTGTGCCTTTCATTTTCCTTGCTAAGATAGTAGTAACCCATGAGTAACTGGAAATGGAGCAGCAGTGTCTGGGGAAGTGGAGGATTTGCATTGCACTGTTTTCTCTGTGCTCGTTCCAGGATTACTGTGGCATGGCTTGGTCAGTACTAGCGCAGAGATTCAAGAATGGCCTCTTTTCTTCACACGCAGATGAGCATCGACTCAAGTAAGTAAATTTCTTTTCCGTTTTAGATATAGCCTTAAAACACCAGATTATAATGGAGAATCCTCGAACAGTAGAGATCAGATTTTAGGCTGAAGGAGAATTTGATTATTTCAGATTTTGGTTTTCTGAAGAATTGGAACCAAACAGTGAACCTGTTTCTGTGTCAGGAAACCAGTAGTTACCAAGGAACCCTCCCTCCAAGTGATGAATGTCAACAGTGATGACCTTTTTTATTTTAAACATTTTATTATAGAAAATTAGCTGAGAAGTAGTGTCTTAGGGTTTCTATTACTGCGAAGAGGCACCATGACCACGGCATCCCTTATAAAGGAAAACTTTTAATTGTGTTGGGTGCTAACAGTTGAGAAGTTCAGTCCATCATCATCATGGCAGGAGTCAAGGCAGCGTGCAGGCAGACATGGTGCTGGAGAAGGAGCTGAGAGTTCTTACATCTTGATTTACAGGCAACAGGAAGTGGTCTGAAACACTGGGTGTGGCTTGAGCATATATGAGACCTCCAAGCCCACCTTCACAGTGATAGGCTTCCTCTGACAAAGCCACACCCATTCCAACAAGGCCACATCTCTTATTAGTGCCATGCCCTTTGGGGGCCATTTTCTTTCAAGCCACCACAAGTAGAAAGAATAAAAATGTAACTATTACTGAGCTTCAGCTTGTTTTTCAAGGATTCATAATCTTCCCAATTGTAAATGTTTAGTTTGAAAAATTCAAAGGTACCAGGCATAGTGGTACACACCTTTAATCCCAGAACTCAGGCAGAGGCAGGTGAATCTGAGTTCAGGGCCAGCCTGGTCTACAGAGTGAGTTCCAGGACAGCCAGGACTACAAAGAGAAAACAAAACAACAACAAAAAGAAGAAAAAAAAAAAAGAGAGAAAAGACAAAAATCAAAGGTGCAAACAAATAAAAGATCACAATGAATCTCTCTACATCTGTCACCCAGCTTCCCTAATGACAGTAACTCCTGCCAGTCTGGTTTTTCATTTATGCAAATCATGGATGTTGTACGAACACATCCCTGATGTTCCCTGAAGACAGGGATCTTGAAAATCAAAACAGAGAAAAACAGCCACAGGGTCAAACTTGGCTCTACCCAGAGGGGAGAAGGCAAAGCAAGGAGAGGCTGGTCACTTGACATCTGACAGAAAGTGTGGGTTCCTACAAAGGGGAATGTATTACTGGTATATTTTCTTCTTATTTTTTTAAAGCTTAAGGAACTTCCTTCTCGCCACCCAGGTATCAGTGTTTTAAGTCAGCTTGGATGTACCAAGTCCTGCACGAGGGTTTCCACTTCCCCTACGACTACCCAAACCTGCAGACAGCGCAGCTGGTGTACGACCGAGAGGTGCAGTGGACACTGGGAGCCATTCTGTATAAAACCCGATTCCTGCCTCTCAGGTAACGCCAGACTAACCAGGCTGGCCCTTGACCTCAGGATGTTAAGTCGATGCCAGAACAGATTTCCCCAGATAGCCACCCTACTCCTCCACACTCAGGAGACTCCATTGTCCCTTCCATCTGAGCCACTGTTCCAGTCAGGTGCAGAGACAGAGAGGTTGAGCTGACTGTTCTGGAATCCCTTCCTTGCCTTTGCCATTTCAGAAAGAGGATTTGTTCTCCTCTAACAGATCAGTCTTTAGGTTTGGGCTCACACTAAACGCTTCTAGGATACGTACTGATGACCTAAAATGTGAATCTTAAGTTAGTCTGGAAAACAAATTTGACGTGGAGTTGGAGGAGGCTGTCTGGGCAAAGCACTCTTTCCTAGTGGACAGAACCATTCCAGAAATGGTGTCGTTGACCTGACACAGTCTGTGGTGGTCCAGCATTAGAAAAAAGGACCTGGCATGGTTTTAAGATGGGTATTTTCATCCAGTTGAGGGACACCCATCCTTGCTGCTATGTGTAGTAAGATATTGGGACATGGTGGCCTCGATCCTGGGACAGGCTCAGATAAAGCAAGTTGTGTCTTTACTCTCTTGTGCCTGATCTTCCAAACTCTGTCATCAGGAACCAGACAGGGACATGTGTGAGGGAAGTCGGCTGTGTGGCTCTGTGGGGAACTAGACAGCACTCAGGAGACAGAGGCAGGTGGATGTCTGTGAGCTGGAGGCCAGTCTGATCTACAGTACTGAGTTCCAGGATAGCCAGAGCTACATAGACCCTGTCTTAAAACAGCAAAAACCCCAAAAAGACGCAAACAACAACAAAAGCCCCACAAATCAACAACAGCAAAAAAACAAAACAAAACAAACAAAAAACAACAACAGTGTCTCCACCTTCTGCAGCATCTGAACTCATGGGGCTCCTCCTCCTGTAGCCCAGGCACTGGAAGGTGCAGGAGGACTCAGTCCGCCCTTGGGCTAGGGATGTCAAGCTTTGCTTGCTCTGTGCAGCCGGTTTCATAGGATGTTTGAGTGAATGGATAAGTGGGATGAACCCACATGGACCGTTCAAATCACAGCAGATGTTTCATTCTGAAACTAATAGTTCTTTGCACTCCCCTAGGGACCTTCGGCAGGGAGGTGTCCGGCAGTCCCATGGCAGCTGGCTCCGCCTCTCCTTTGTCTACAACCACTATCTCTTCTTCGCCTGTACCCTGGTGGTGCTGCTGGCCATCGCCCTGTACCTTCTGCACATCCACAGAATTCACCGCCGACAAACTCGAGCCTCAGCTCCATTGGACCTGCTGTGGATCGAACAGGTGGTGCCGATGATCGGGGTGCAGGTGGGGCCGTGAGGCTGGACCAGATAGAGAAGCTCCAGTACCTGAGGGTTGCTGCTTACGGAGTTCCTTCACTTTCCTGAACTGGCCTCGGATGCTGCTTTGGCCTGGGAATTTCTACTTTTTCACTTTAATTTCTTTTTAGTGCCCAGGACAGGACCTTTTCTCAGAAGCCGTAACCTAATCTGTGAGGAACTAAGAGGCAGGAGGCCGGTGCTAACACAGGGGAGTAAGCTTAGCCCAGTGAAGCATGTTTCTCCTTTATCCTGGAAATCTGGGATGCTTCTGGGATGTAGCAATTTCCCTTCTTGCTGAAGCAAGTTCTTGTATTGGGCAACTGGAATCACGTTTGAAACTAACTTGGATCCAAAACTAACTGATACAAAGCCAGAGACATTCCAGCAAGTGCAGTTGCCCCTGCTTTCTCTGTAACAGAGATACCCTTATGTGGAGATCCACAGCCTTGAGTAGGGACCCAAGGTCTCCAAGGGTCAGTGGACCAGGATCTCAAGGCAACCAAAACGATACAACTTCCTTGCTTACTTGACATCCCTGACAGTGTTGACAATTATGTTGATTATGTTATATAGATTTGAGAGGTTAGAGCCCCTTTTAAATGAATGCTCCATTGAAGATCCGACAGTATTCTGTCTGATACTTGGTCTGACCAGGTAGAAAACACTTCCATGTCTATGTGCCTCACAGGCTGCTTGGGCATCAGTGGTGCCTTTTGAGCCTTAAGTGAGCTTATAGAATGGAGAAACTGATGGGAACCGGGGACCTGGTTTGCCTGTTTTCAGGTTACTGTCTCACGGGTGTTTTTTTCCTGTGCAGAAGATTCAGAGCAACTTCCCTCATTTCACTGCTATGTATTTTGGGGTGGGATGTTTTTGGGGTCCTTTGTTTAAGGAAAAATAATATCAAGAGAGTGGGCAAAGGCAGTAAAATCAAAGGTTTTTTGTTTTCAAGACAGGGGCTCACTGTGTATATATGTAGCTCTGGCTGTCCTGGAATTCATTTTGTAGACCAGCCTGGCCTGAAATCAAACTCACAGACATCTTCATGCCTCTGCCTCCCAAGTGCCGGGATCAAAGGCATGTGCTACCATGCCCAGCTTAAAATCAAAAGTTCTTACCTATTTTTGAAATGTTTGAAAGAAAGCAAAATCTAAACTTTGGAATAACTCGATAAATCTTCCCTGGAGCAGCCTGGCTGGTTTTTGGACATCTGTCACAAATAGCAGTTCCTTTACTGTAGAGAGGAAAGCCATATCCGTGTTCTTACCCAGGCCTCTCAGAAACCGGCCCCTGAGCAGCCGGCCTGCCCTTCAGTTGCATTAAGAGTCAGGGTTCATGAGCTCCTCCCTGCCCCTTGAACCCTGTTCTCCATGGGAAACCATGAGGGGCCTGCCTGGGATTGCTCCCAGGGCTAGTAGCTTGATCTCTTCTTTTTGGGAGTAAGGCAAGACTGGAGCCAAATTTTTTAGGTAGCCAAGGCTAGCCTTGAACTTCTGATTTTTCCTGCCTCCATCTCCTCGAAGTGCGGGTTTAAAGGTGTGCACCACCAGATGTGGCTCATTTCCTTTTCATTTTGCCAAAGCCTTTATTTATAGAGTTAGAATACAGAGAGAGAAAAAAGTCCAGATTTAATAAATTCCACACTGGGAACAGAAAGGAATGAAATACTTTACAAAATAGAGAAAAAAACAAACAAAAAACTAAGATGGTCCTAGGGATAAGCAGAGGTGAAGCGTATTGACTCTGCAGCTAGGCGAGTCGTCCACTGTCTTTTTCCTTTTTGGAGGCAGGGTCTGTATGTACCCTAGGGTGGCCTGGTACCCAGTGAGCCTCCCGCCTCAGCTGTGATTATAGGTATGCACCACCATGCGCGCATGTTAGGTAAGTAGTAATCAGCAACGGTTCTTTCACTTCAAATATTTTACTTCTCATTGACAGTTCTTTTAAACTTTAATTTTAATTGTTGTGTCCTATGAGCGAGCCTTTGCCTTTTCCTTTTTATGCTGCTTTTTAAGATGACAAAAATGTTCTTGCTAGCCATTTGCCTCCTCAGGGAACTTTTAACTTCATCTTAGTTTCTATATACCAGTTTTGGTGTTCTTGGGAGAGCCTGGTCAGAAGTTAACAGTGACCATATACATGTGCTCACACTGGAGTTGAAGCGAGGAAGTAACCCGTCCAGTTCTGGAGCTCTCCTTACTGCTTACTCTCTACCCTGATGGTACAAGGAGCTACCATTTGTCAAGCACTTACAGTGTATTGCTCCTTAGACCTTTATGTGTTGTTTATTATTTAATCATGACAGCCTTTTGGATTGATAAGCCCTACATTCTTTTTATAGTTGAAAACAATCTCAGGATGCCTATCTTTATCATTTTTCAATATAAATATATTTCTTAATTTATTTGAATTAGTCTTTGAGTTTTTGTTCGATCCATTATATTCTATTTACTGTCTTAATATTATGGGATCCAGACGTACATTTATTAACATAAAACTTCCAGAAGTCCATAGGTTAAGAACAAGAAGGGACACTGTTATGTGGCTGAGAAGGTCTGACCAAATTGCTCTTGATGGCCCCTGGGTGCTTCATTCACTCCCATTGGGTAGACTTCCAGGGGAATCTTGGTAGCCAAGTTTTCACTGCATCTGTTTTAGCATTTTTTTGTCTTTTTTTTTTAATACTTTAGGTTTTACTTTTAAGCAATTACCTTAACTTTTTTCCCCTAACCACAACATTCCAATAACATAAATACAATCTGAATGAAGGTACAAATGCCTAATAGAGATATCTACCTCATAGAACCTGTGGTGATTCTTGGGCAGTTTCCAGACTGGGCTTGGTGTGACTTCATTTTGGTTGGGACTGGGAATTGGAGTCAGAGTGGCAGAGGCTGTTTCAGCTCCTCCTAAATTGGTCTCCTGGTTTGTGCTTAGCTTCAGTCTTGCTGTCGGGAGGATGGACTTACGCCAAACTTGTGAAGATTTTGTTGGTGTTACAAAAACTGGTGTGTTCAAAAGTGAGGACTCAAAACCAAGTTTTGGCACCTTTGACTAACAATAGAGTAACAAATATTTTTGTAAGCTATGAATGCATCTGAAATCAAATACTTTTAGATAATATTCTCAATTCTGAGTGGCTGTCCTTGGCCTCCACCTGCCCCTGACTTGGATCTGATCTAACTGGAAAAGCTCTTGTACCCTACTTGGGTTTCTGTTCATCCTGGGGTTTCTGTTTCTGTGGGTGGCTCGTTATGGTTCTATTTTAAGCCAGCTTTGTCTTGTTTTATATATACCAATAGGCTGTTATTTGCCCAAGTATTTATTTTTGCTTGTTAATACTTTTAGAAGGACAGAGGGAAATCACACACCAACAGATCATTTTGCTTTTTGGAAATCTGAGCAATAAAGAGACCCTTTTATATTGTAAAGTGGAATTACTGCTCATACGTAAGGACTTCCTTTTTTTTTTTCAAGTATGAGCAGATCACTGCTTCCATTTTTATAAAAAACCAGAGTTGAAAATGTTCTGAGTAATAGGATATTTAGTCACATGTGCATGTTGGACAGACACAAGCTTGAAGATGTGTCTACTCCTGAACACCTCCTTAAAGTAGGACAATGGCTGATACCGCCCCTCCCTCCAGCCCCTGTCTGTTCCCTCTGATGTGTTACTTTCCATTCACTGTGATGACATACCTGAGACCATTCATAAAGAGAAAAGGGTTGTTTTGATTCAGTTAGAGGTTCAGCTCAGTAGTCAAGTGTCCCTTTTGCTTTGAGCCTGTGATGAAGGTACACCGTGGAAGGCATATGTAGCAAAGCTGCTTAGCTCATGGCCAGGATTCCAGAGAAGATGGAGTTCAGAGTGTATGCCCTCCAGCGACTTAAGGACCTATGAGGCTGTGCCCACAAGGGTTCCACCACCTCCCAATAACATCAGCTTGGGACCAACCCTTTAACCCATGGGCCCCTGGAGGACACTCTGTGAAGGCAGTCCTGGCGATTCCTAAGCAGCTCACCCATAGAGCACATCCGGGGTTTGACTCCACTGGCAATACCTGCCTCTAGCTTCATGTGTCTGCCTCTGCCAGCAGAGACCCTGACTATTATGACTGCTAATATTTCTGCTTCAAGTTCTCGTTCCACACTTCCTGTCTGTTGAGGCTGTAAAGTATACGCCACATCTCCTCCAAGATTTCTACCGTTAGTGTGGTCTCTGCGGTGGCTATGACATCTGCATTGTGATCTCCAGCCTGATGTTCTGCACCTCGCTCCTTCTGGTGCCTGGGACGACTGCTTCCCAGGCACTTTTCATTAAATAAGAATTCTGGTCGGGCATTGGCAGCACATGCCTTTAATCCCAGCACTTGGGAGGCAAAGACAGGCAGATCTTTGTCAGTTGGAAGTCAGCCTGGTCTACAGAGAGAGTTCCAAGACAGGCTCCAAAGCAATACAGAAAAACCCTGTCTTGAAAAAAAAATTCTGTGGAAATCTTAAATTTCATGAATAGTTCTTACTCTGAAAAATGTTCAATGTGTTGGAATGGCAACTCAATCACCCTCATGTGGGGGTGTAGTGCCGTTACATATGCCCATATGTAACCCACCATTCACCCCAGGACCAGGAGGGCTGCAGGGAAACTGGTATTCTAAAATCATGATTATCAAGAGTCGGTCTTTGCAACCAACTTCACTCTTGCAGTCACCAACCCTGCCACAGTGGATGCGTATCTCAGTGTAGGTTTCTGACGACAATCTGGGCCAGTGAAACGGCTCAGCAGGTGAAAGCACTTGACACACAGCCTGGTAACCTGAGTTTGACCCCAGAGCCCACACAAAGATGAACGGCGAGAACTCACACAAGTTGTCCCCTGACCTCTGCATGCACATGCATGTATAGTGTATGCTCCCTTGTCATACATGCACACACAGTAATAAGTAAATTCTTAAAAAGATTAAAGCCCTCGACACAAAGGTCTGTGAAAAACCAAATTAATTAAATGCTGTCATAAGAGTTATGGCCTAATCAACCCAATGGGGCTGGTAAAAGAAAAAAATTAAATCCTGGGTTAGCTGTTTGAAAACACATGTTTTAATTACCTTTATGTCTAAAAACAATGGACAGAATTGTTGACAAACTGTTGAAAACATTAAAGGAAATTTATTTAATCCTTTGTGCAATGGCTTTTCTGAAATAGACATTGGGAATATAAAATCAATAATTATATTATTTTCTACCAGTTCATGCTTTCCTCATTCAGTATTTGGGATCTATCTGATGACAGCAAATTATACAAATACAAAAATAGCTTAGAGGATCTCTGTTCACCAGGAGTACACAGAAAGCAAAATGCAGCTAAACAGCTAAAGCCATCTGTTTCAGACATGCTCAACTGTATAAAAATGAGGACCTGAAGCTGGAGCGGACTCGGGATGCCACTTGCTTGGAGTGACTTAAAATCAGGCTACACAGAGAAACCCTGTTTCAAACACCCTGCACACTCGTGTTCCAGAGGCTCGAATTTAGTGGGTCTAGGATAAATCTTGAGTTCTGAAGTTGAGGGAACCTCTTCCGTGCAAAAGCACAAACCCAGGAGGGTCTGGGACTGGGGAAATAAAACACGTGTCTTTGTTTTGCCAAGAACAGCTGAGAACTGTACCCTTTAGAATATGCGCTCACAGAATACTAGAGTTGAAAGAAAACATCATATGGTTCAGAAACTGCAGGTCAGACATATTTTAAACAACTTGAAATTGTAAACATTTAATTTGGGGGGAGCAGGGGATGGGGAAATCAAGACAGTTTCTCTGTGTAGCCCTAGATATTCTGGAACTCACTCTGTAGACTAGGCTGGCCACTATTAAAGGTGCGCACAACCACTGCCTGGCTAATGTTTAATTTTAGTACTATTCACTCCAGGGCTGGAGAGACTGCTCAGCTGTTGCTGCTCAGTGCTTGCTGCTCCTCCAGAGGACCCATGTTTTGTTACCAGCACTCATATCAGGCAGTTTACAGTTACCTATAACTCCAGTTCTAGGGGACCCAGCACTTTTCCTGCCTTCATGGACATCTGTACACACATGGCCTATGTTAATACAAGCACGAGACACACACACACACATCCACGGGGGGGGGGGGGGATCTTCACTTCACTTCAAAATCTAGCTAGTTAGCTGCTTTGAGAAACCAGATAACAACTCTAGATGTTGGTCACAGACCAACATGCAGTACCTGTTGACTGGTCCAGTAACTCCAGTAACCCATTGGGGCACTTGTTCTTGAGTCTGTCACTGTCATTACCAGCCTGACTAGTGGACAGGATTCTGCAGCACAAGGACACAGAAACCCAAGATCTTCCTAACACTAAGAAAAGTCAGGCTGCCTATTAAATGACAGACACTTCAGCAACAGAATTTAAAGGGAATCTCTGATGTGAGCACACCTTTGTGACATTGATCCAGTGCCCATCTCTGAACAGTCTTGAGAGATTTGACCAATTTGGAAACCATGCGGCGAAGACCACCCTCCTAAGTTCGTGTGCTTGCTGATGAATCCCCAAGGCACTTTCAGTCCTAGGAAGGGATCTTCAGAATTATTTTGGGACTCTTCTGAGTTCATTCATGAGCCAAAGGGCACCACTGAGCAGAGCCAAGGAGCCTGACTGGTGTGTGGCAGCCAGGGGAGTTGGAACATACATAAGCAGAGTGCTAATGCCCAAGGTCACCTGTTGTAGAAGAAAGAAGAAAGGCAGTAATACTAAGTGACTGCACGTGGACAGCCAGATATACAAGCCTCCACGATGCTGCATGAGAGCACTAAGAAGCATGTGTTTGATGTCATAAGCAAGCGTAAAATACATAAATCAATGAAATTCAAAATAGGTAAACCTAAAATTCCCTTCAGTTATCCTCTATCCATTCTTTATATTCTTTGAGACTGGGTCTTACTCTAGTTCATGCTGACCTGGAACTCATGGCACTAGCAAGCCTCTTCTTTAGTCTTCTGAGTGCTAGGATAACAGACAAGCTACTATGCCCAGCTTCTACCTGTCACAGTCTACACTGACAGTTCCCATTACCAGTTTCTATATGCCTTACTTTCATATACGTGATTACTGAGAGATAAAGGTTTTCATTTTTGTTTGTTGGAGGCAGAGTTTCACTGTGTAGCCCTGGATGGCCTAGAACTCACTATGTAGACAAGACTGTTCTTGAATTCACTTCCCTCTGTCTTCCAATATACAGGCAGTTTTATGCTGTTTAAAACACTGTTCTGTCACCTGATTTTTCTTAAACTGCTATGCAGTATTCCACAGCAAAGATACCATGGTTGTTTTAGTTTTTTTCTAGTTTTAATCATGGCAATTCTGAGTTTCCTCACACAAAGCTCCTAGTGTATTAGGGTATTTTTAAGGCAGACACACGGTCAGTTTTCTGGACCAAAGCGTTATATATTATATGTATCATATATATTGCATAATTGCCCTCTGAGGAAAGCTATTATAGGCTCATGGTCTCACCAAGAATATCAAAATGTATCAATTTTCCTATACCCATGCTAATAACATCTCTTTGCCTGCACTCCCCACATCCAAAATTCAGCCCTCCTGTGTGTGATAAATAACATTCATTTAGTTGCTCCTCTCTGATATTAAAAAGCTGTTGTGTTTATTAGCCATCTGTCACTCCTCTTACGACAACAGTGTACTGATACTTTTTGTGTAGTTTTTCATTATTAATCTGTTAACATTAACTTTGGGTTGAAGCCACAGATCAAGAAGGGTACCTGTGCATATGCCAAAGTGAGCAGAGTCACGGCTGCCATCTTGGTCCTTCGAGGAAGGGGGACTCTCCGGGACAGGAAATAGAGCACCGTAATGGCAGTGACTGACGTGATTCCCTAGGAGACAAAGACCGTCATCACACATGCTAGGATTGCAGCCACACTGACCCCACTCAACTCATACCTCCCTGGAACCCGAGCAACCAGGAAGAGCGTTGCTAGTCACAAGGACACTGTCCACCCGGGTTGTGCCTCACTAGCGTCGCCACAGTCCTCTCCTGCTGGAACTGAGGTGGCACCGTCACCCAGGGCACCGCCTGAGTTTGTTTACTACTTTATACACACTTACCTTCCCTCAGGTGAGAGCCTTGCTCTTTAAATCAGATCTTAAATCCTAAGCTGTAATTTTATATCTAATTTTACATTCTTGTTTTTTCCCCAAAGATTTATTTTACCTTATATGCATGGATGTTTTGCCTGCATGCATGTCTGTGCACCATGTGCAGAAGGCACCTGAGGGTACTGGAGCCTTTGGAACTGGAGTTAGTGTGAGTCCCCACGTGGGTGCTGGGAACTGAACTTGGGTCCTCTGCAAGAGCAACAAGTGCTCTTAACCACTGAGCCATCCCTCCAGCCCTAATCCCCTATTACAGCAGGGCTGACCTTAGCACATAAAGGGTTTAACTTCCCTGGGTTGTGAGTAGGGGGAATGGTAGTGCTTCCAGTTGGTAAAAACAATGAAAATCTTGGTTTCATTGAGGGTCTGGGGTAGCAATAAGGTTTCTTTTCTGCATCCATGCCGGAATGTTTTCTATCCTATCTTTACATCTGATTCAGAGTGAGCTACAGGGGCAGATCCAACCATACTTTATTTATTCATGCTAAAATACTGTGTAGGGGTGGGAACTACCTGGGAATGTCAGCCCTAGCTCTTGGATATGAGTCCTCTCTGGACCCCTTGTCTGCCACCTCATACTCCGCATGCCTCCATCTGATGACTACTGCCTTTAGCGTAACACTCTCACTCGAGGGCCCATTTCTGTTGGTCATGTTTTAGAACGCTGCAGGAGAAACTGTGGGGTCTCATTCGATCTCTCTTTACATGTTTTCCTGAACGCTAAGGTTAACTTCACTGTTCCTCTAAAGCTCCTCTCAGCCCTGCCAGCTAGCAAGGTCTTCCACTTATGCCTTGTCCCCCGTGACCCTAGCCTGCCTTCTCTAGCAACACTGGGGTCTCCTGGGTGCACCAGTTCATCATACTCAGGCTGCCAGGCCGGTCTTAGTACTGTTCCCACACCATCAGTACCTACGGGCTCCAATAACGGAAAAGTATTAATGAAGTACCTTTGGGGCTCCTCCATAGCTATGTGCTGTGTGAAGTAGCACACTTACCAGAAGCCGGTGATCAAACTGCACCATGGTGGGATTCTCGAAAACATTCTTCAGGATGGGGGAGAAGGTAAGAAGGTCCTCTGGGATCCAAGAGTCTCCCATTTTGGGGAAGGAGTTGTAAACCAGCCCTGCATCCAGTCCTGCCACAAAAGCCCCTGCATGCCGAGATATACGGGGCTTACTAGAGTGAAGACCAAAGGTTAGCTCTGAATACAGACTTCTCCTACCCCAGAGCTACACAAAGGAACTGTTCAGAGGATAGTAGACAAGTAGGCAATTGGGCTTCCCAGGTGGAGAACATACACTACAGTCTCCACAGGAACTCAGCAACACCTCGAACCCTTATCTGCTCTGACCCCAGGGCTGCCGTGTCTCTGCCAGAGACCAGAAGCGCTGGAGGAGATGCCTATTAATTCGGAAAGCCTCCTTTGCTTTTGACTCCGTGTCCTTCCTGTCCCTAACCCTGCTGATAGTAGAACTTCAGGGTTTACCCTCACTTCCTCAGTCTCTGCTCAAACATCACCTTATGAGAGGGAGCCCCGGCAGTCTGACATGGAGTCTCTTGCACCTTATGAGAGGGAGCCCCGGCAGTCTGACAAGGAGTCTCTTGCACCTTATGAGAGGGAGCCCCGGCAGTCTGACATGGAGTCTCTGCTCCATTCCTCTCCCTTCATCTCGCTTTCTTTTCCTCACTCAATGTTACTGGACACGCTTTTGTCGTGCATTTTCCGTATTTCTTCCCAAGGATTCAATAAGGAACAAAGAAGATACAAAAAAATCACAAACTTACAAACTAAACCCTGGGTAAGCACAAAAGCAAGGCAGGTGTGAATGGATCTATTACCGCCAACAGAGAGTCAAAGAGCTTTGAATCCTTCTTGTCAAGATGACTTACAAGATCAAAATACACATTATACAGGAAAGAAATGAAGAGCAGAGAATCAGGGTAGGGTAGGCTCCTGGTCTGAACTAGTGTTTTTCATGACTGAGCAGCACTGTCCAATAAAGCCTTCTGTGATAATGGAAGTGTTCTGTCTCTTCCCTGCAACACGTTAGCCACAGATGATCACTCAGTGTGCTAGTGTAACTGAATGAGAAAGTGCTGTTAACTTAAGTTTAACCACACAGGGATTCTGATGCCTGTATTAGACAGTGCATTCCAGAGTGAGAAAGGTAAAGGAGAACACAGGATTTAAAGAAGAGACGTTCAGGGCTAGAGCAACGGCTCAATGGTTGTTGCTCTTCCAGAACACCTGAGTTCCATTCTCAGCACCCATGTTGGATGGTTCCCGATTACATGTAACTTCAGGTACAGGGGATCCAATGCCTTCTCCTGGCCTCTATGTGTACCTGCACACACATGGCATACACTCAGGAACACACACATGCACACATAGTTAAAGTTTAAACTCTCAGGAGGAAAGAGGAGCTACAGTGGTCCCAGCTCGTTGACCATCACTGAGGACAGGCCACCTGTCTGACCCACTCTGGTGTAATGTGTACTAACAATGCTCACACAGGACAACTAGCAGCCTTTGCTATACACAGGCACTGATAAGCAGCCATGTTCATGACGTGCAGCCATCATCTCGTTTATACACAGTGTGCAGTTCCCAGGGGAGGCTACAAATCGATTTGGACTTGGGCGGTATGAATTTAAGTAAATGCTCAATAGTTCTGTTCAGTTGAGTGGACAGTAGGAGCAGAAGCAGAGGGTAAATGGGGGAGCAAAGGAGCCAACCATGCTAGGGAAAGATAGAGGCAGCGGGAACAGCAGTGTTTCACCCCGGACAGAACTGCACCGTGTGTGGGGGACGAAGCCTACCTGAGAGAGCCGTAAGGAAGACCAGGCCTGCTGTGCCACCAGCAAAGCGCCTCAGCCACAGGAGCTGCCGGGTTTCAGGTAACTGAAAAGGGTAATTGGGTTATCTGTGTGGTAGGAACTATGGAAGCAGCAAGATCTCCAAATCCAAACCCAGACAATGTAAGATTACACTGTCTCTGTCTGCTAACAAGAGCACATACCCCAGCAGACACTGCTCTACATAGGATGAGTACCCAGCAGACACTGCTCTACATAGGATGAGTACCCAGCAGACACTGCTCTACATAGGATGAGTACCCAGCAGACACTGCTCTACATAGGATGAGTACCCAGCAGACACTGCTCTACATAGGATGAGTACCCAGCAGACACTGCTCTACATAGGATGAGTACCCAGCAGACACTGCTCTACATAGGATGAGTACCCAGCAGACACTGCTCTACATAGGATGAGTACCCAGCAGACACTGCTCTACATAGGATGAGTACCCAGCAGACACTGCTCTACATAGGATGAGTACCCAGCAGACACTGCTCTACATAGGATGAGTACCCAGCAGACACTGCTCTACATAGGATGAGTACCCAGCAGACACTGCTCTACATAGGATGAGTACCCAGCAGACACTGCTCTACACAGGATGAGTACCCCAGCAGACACTGCTCTACACAGGATAAATACCCCAGCAGACACTGCTCTACATAGGATAACTACCCCAGCAGACACTGCTCTACATAGGATAACTACCCCAGCAGACACTGCTCTACATAGGATAACTACCCCAGCAGACAGTGTTCTAACATAAATCTATTTCACTGTTAGACATTTATTATGAATCTTCCCAGATACTACAAATAATTAAATTTAAATAGCTCCCAGTAGCAAGTAGTTATTGTGATAGAGAACATGATACTATATCACTTAACTATCATCTCAAATTCTTTCTATAATTAGGTAGAATATAAACACATAAAAAGGGAAAATTTGATAAAAGTTATCAACAGCCTCCAAAGTTCAACTCCAGTGTTTGGCCTGGAAGTCAAAGGAAGAATTTTTTCTTTTTTTTTTTAAAAGATTTATTTATTTATTTAATATATTCTGCATGCATTTATGTCTGCAGGCCCAAAGAGGGTACCAGGTCTCATTATAGATGGTTGTGAGCCACCATGTGGTTGCTGGGAATTGAACTCGGGACCTTTGGAAGGGCAGTCAGTGCTCTTAACCTCTGAGCCATCTCTCCAGCCCCGAAGAATTTTTTCAAATGAGGAATATTTACTATGAAAATGCTTCAGTATTTGGCATTCCTGTGAATATCTCCAGTTCTTACTGGCACCTAAGCCCCTAGCTCTAAGTATCTATTAGATAACTATACTGAAAAATCTGGTGTCACATCAAAATATTCTCCATGAACAGCTTATCCAGGCTGATTTGTCACTTTTCCAATTAAACATTTTAAACTGTGTGTGTGTGTATGTGTGCTCACCCATAGCACATGTATGGATATCAAAATACATTTTTGTGCAGTCTATTTTCCTCATCCACCTTTATGTGGGGCTGGAGGGCTGACCTGAGGTTTCCAGGTTTGTTGAGCCAACTCACCAGTGCAATAACCACTATTTGTAAATATTAGAAAAAAGGTGAGCTAGGAGTGATGGCTCACACCTTTAATCCCAGCACTTGGGAGGCAGAGGCAGGTGGATCTCTGTGAGTTCGAGGCCAGGCTGCTCTACAGAGTGAGTTCCAGGACAGCCTCCAAAACAATACAGAGAAACTCCGTCTCAGAAAAAAAAGCCAAAAAAAAAAAAAAAACCAAAAAAAAAACCCAACAAATTGACATTTCCTGAAGGAAAACTAGCACACAGAAAAGAACCTTTTAGACACAAATCACTATGGTTTAATAGGCACAGCATGGGACTGAACTCCATGTCCCCACTCAATGTGACATAGCAGGGCTGCTGTTCACCAGCTTAAGCTTAGCCACAGCTCTTGCTGGTCTTCCCATCCTGCTGTTCGCTCTCCATTTGGGGAGCCAGGGCTAGAGTGGTTGGGTTATGTTTTACCGTCAGCTCTCCTTGCCCTTCCCCTAAAATTTGACAAGATATTCAGCCTCTGTATCATCTAGCAACTTCACTTCTGAATGAATATATATGTATATATATCACAAAGAATTGAAACTGGCGTCTTAAAGGGCTAGCTGCTCACCCATGCTCACAGACACATTCTTTACAACAGCCAAAGTGGGAGCAGCAGGTGTTGGAGGGAATCTGGTCTGACTTAGGAACTTTTCATTAAACCAGATTTCCCCGCCTCGTCAGTACCTGCGCAGCTGTGGCAGCAATGCAGACGGACACAGGCTGGCCTTACCTTGTGCCGAGGAAGCAGCAGCGAGAGTGAGGTCCACAGACTGGCACAGTAAAGGACCAGTGCAGACCCCAGGTGGGCTGCCAGGCGGTACTGGCTGACCCGAGGGATATCGTAGGACTCCGGCTTTTCTTCTAATCCACTTTTCACCATATACCAACCTAAGAGACCCTACAATTCAAGCAGAGAGGGGCAAATCAAACAGGTTTGACCTGCCAGGTTCTACTGAGAAAGATCATTCCTAGAAAGAACACCCTTCCTGCCTGGTTTCCACACCCTTCTAGTGTTCAGAAGTGGGAACTGTTGGCAATCCTGCATTAACAGTATTAGTGCTTGATCGCTGTTTAGACTTCAGTTCTGTTGACGTATAGTTCAGGTATATGAAATCACACAAAAGTTTATCTGTGCTCAAAACTTTACAAATGCTTGATATAATTTAACATGTAAACCAGTGAGATAGAATAGTTTCTTCTATGAAAACTAGATTGTATTTGGAAAAAGCTTAACAGAGGTTAACTGTTTAAAAACAATTACTGTCAAGGTATGTGGGTATAAGACAAGCACAAAAGTCTGGGGGGAAGTCATACAAATACATAAGATTTTCATGTAGATCGCTTTGCAAAAATATATTTCTACTCTCTAAGAAAAATGAAACTGGAAACTATAATTTGTGGAGATGAAGAAATTTAAAGTTGAACTTCAAATTTCAAATTCAGCCAAAGAAAGGCTCAGCTCTTAGGAAGGAAGGAAAAAGGGAGAGGGAGGAAGGAAGATTGGTAGAGAGAGTGCATGTTTAAGCCAGACACGGTGGCACAGAATTGTAATTCTAGCCTTTGGAAAGTAGAGGCAGGAGGATCAGCAATTTGAGGTCATATTTGGCTACACAGCAAGTTAGAGGTCAGACAGGGTACTTGAGACTCTGTTTCATAAATCGAAACCAAACCGACCAACCAAACAATAACAACAGAATCCCACCATTCTCTAACAACATGCATGTTTATGTTTAGAAAGCTCACAGAATGTGTTACACCCCATGGACCTCTGCTTTAACTAGCAAACAGCCTAACCGCATCAATTCTAACCTTATCAGATAAGACAGAATCATTTCACCCACTGCCTCCAATCCCACAGATTCAGGTCAAAGGGGCGAGTTTCTGCTACTTCTTCAGGTAATCCTTTGGGGATATTTCCTCCTCTTTTCAAGATTAGCCTAGCTATTGTAATTACCTTCCATCTTCAGGGACCCTGGAAAAATGATGGCGCATATAGTGTGAATTCTCTAGCCCAACTTGTTTTCTCCCACAACCCTATCTGACAACTTAAATTTCTACCTTCATTTTTAATGTTTAATTATAAAATTAAACTTTACATTTTATTCCATCTAATTTGCTTAGTTACTAAAATATAATGAAAGTTAACTTTTATAATAAATTTCTATAAAATAACTCTCATTAGTGTCTAATTCTTTATTGTAGTTTCTATTGCCTCATTAATCAATTCTTAATTAGATTATCCCTTTACCACTTCTGAGTTAATTAACTACCTAGTTTCCTTCTAGTCAAATGATGATGCTGTGACACCATCAGGACCTTTACATTTTGACCAAATTCTTGTAGGAGTCTTCTCTAGTTCCTTTTCTTGGTTCTTGGCTTTAACTGAGAGAATCTCCCAAAGCTCTTTTCCTTAAGTCTAGCTTATATGATTTTAAATACCACTTATACTTGAACATCAGCTACATCTGTTTCCCAACTCTCACCTCCCAAATTGTTTCCTCTGTAGTCACTCTTTCTCAGGCAGCAGACAAGGTAGAAAAATGGAAGAGAACACAGGAAGAGAGCCTCAATGGGGACATGAACTCTACTTCTAGTGGTCCAAGGAAAAGTACTTACTGAGTACTTCCTGAATTTTAGACACCCAGCTAACTGCTTTATATATATTATCTCATTTAATATCTACACTCCCTAAGTGGCACTATTATTATCTCTTCCTACAGTGAGTAAGGAAATCATATATGACAAAAGTCAGACAGCTTGCCCTAAGTGACAGAACTGGGGCTTAAAGCCAAGCCTATGGCACTAAAATGTGCATTCTTACCTAATCTACTGTAGTGCTTCCTTAAATAATGCCACTCTTAAATAACTCTTACCTGGAAACAAACTAAGCCACAGAGGGCAAGAACACGTCCTTTCATGCCACGGCTGAGCCAACCCTTTCTCCAAAAATAGGCAGCAGGCAGGATGTACGCAAGGCCTACAGCTCGACCCCACATTCGGTGTGAGTATTCCATGTACCAGATAAACTTGAATTCCGCCAGTGTCATGTCATGATTCAGGCTAGGTGAAATGGGAGTCAAAAATGAAGAAAGATGAAACCGCTATTGGGTTTATTTATTTACTTTGGCATGGACACATACATGCCACAGCATGTGTGTGGGTCAGAGACAACGTCTTGTGAATCAGTTTTCTGCTCTCTCCTTCCACCTCCTGTTTGAGGCAGGGTCTCTCTGTGTCTACCATTGCATCATATACTCCAGGCTATGCTGGTCCTTGAGTTTCTGGCTGAGTTTCCTGTCCACCTCCCATCTCACAACAGTGCTGGGATTATAGATGTATACCACTACATCTGGCTTGCTCCACAGGTTCTGGGGTTGAAGTTAAGTCACCAAGAGAATGGGGCAAGCACTTTTATTGCTAAGCCATCTCCTCAGTCTCTTCATTTGTTTACCTATGGAATGCAGAAATCTTCTCAGTCTTGCAGCTTCACATATCTGTCCTCTTCCTCATCAGTAATTTTAACATGACTCTGGGCTTAAATCCTAAACAGTTCACTATATTTAAGTAAACCAAAGATCAAGAAACCAATCTAACAATTGTGAAGGATTTAAAGAAGCAAAACGCTGCATAGGATATATGCTGACTAATTTTATGTCAACTTGACACAGGAGAGAGTCATCTGAGAGGAGGGAACCCAACTGAGAAAATGCCTCCATAAAATTGAGCTGTAGGTCAGCCTGTAGAGCATTTTCTACCTTCCTTCCTTTATGTCTTTCTCTCTTTTTTTTTTTAGCTTTTCAATATAGAGTTTCTCTGTATAACAGCCCTGGCTGTGCTAGAACTTGCTCTGTAGGCCAGGCTGGCCTCAAACTCACAGAGATCCACCTGCCTCTACCTCACAAGTGCTGAGATTAAAAGCGTGTGTCAACACTGTCCACCATGGAGAGCATTTTCTAAATTAGAGATCAATGCGGGAGGGCCCAGCCCATTGTGGGTGGGGTCATCCCTGTGCTGAGGTCCTGGGTTCTATAAGAAAGCAGGCTGAACAAGTCATGGGGAGCAGCATGTCAGTAAGCAGCTCCCCTGTCAGAACGTAATCCAAGAATGGAGCTGTGTGAAAATTCTGAGTGCTTGTGAGAAAACTTCAAGGAAAAAAATAGTGATACATTATTTGTGGTTTAATAAAGCTTGTCTGGGGGTTCAGAATGCAAAGCTAGCCACAAGCTATAGAGGCCAGGCAGTAATGGTACACACCTTAGACTCGGGTAGGAGACTGAGGCAGATGGATCTGTTAGTGCAAGGCCACACTGAGCTACATGAAACTGTTCCAGCGTAAAAGAGAAACAGCTCACACAAAGGTGATCCCAGCACTTGGGATCACACGCCTTTAATCCCAGCACTAGGGAGGTGGAGACAGGAGTGATATGACTGGGTGGAGAAAGGAATATCAGACAGGTTGGTTATTGTATGAGACTCCTATGTGTCTCATTTTTAGGGTCCATTCTCCCAGGTTCCACTACCTTTAGAGTGGTAAACATCTCCATGGCCTCTGCATCAGCTCCTTCCTCTTGGTTCCTGCCTTGCCTGAGTTCCTGCCCTCACTGCTTTTAATGATGAATTGTTATATGGAACTGTGAGTGAAATAAACCCTTTCCTCCCCAAGTTGCCTTTGGTCATGGTGTTCCATTACAGCACTGGTAACTCTAACTAAGACAGGATGTTTACTTGAGGCGCTTTGTAGATGGTTCAGTGAGTAAGAATGCTTGCTGTGCAAGCGTGAAGAGTTGAGTTCAAATCCCCAGCACCCATATAAAAAGCTGGGCATGGTTGTGTGTCCTGTAACTCGAGTGCTGTGGGGGACAGAGACAAGAAAATCCCTGAGACTTGTCAGCAGTGAGCTCAGCTCCAGGTTCAGTGAGAAACCATGTCGTCAAGCATGCTGCACGCATGCCCACACGCCTTCATCACACACAAGTCATGACACTTACCTGACTGCTTTCTAACTTACATTTTAAATTCTGGAAATTGCTGGTATTTTTGGAATTCTGCTTCCCATTCTTCTTGGCTTGTGGGTGGCTTCATCTCCTTTATTAAATGCCAGTCTACCATTGAGAGGCCAGACTCTGTCAGCCTTAGGGTAGAAAATTTGTGAGTATATAATTCCAGAGTATTCGTAAATAGTTTATGGCAACAAGTAGCTGTGAACTTAACCTGTAGGTATGAATCGTTTCCTCTTCCTTTTTTGTTTGCATTGTTTGACATGGAATCCAGGTTCTTGCACAAACCAGGCTTTGCATGCCAGCTCTTATTTCTTTACACTTTTATTCTCTCAGTTCTTTGATTCTACCTAACCACCCCCCATTTATTGTTTGTTGATTTTTCTCCTTTCTTCTTTCCTGAAACAGGGTCTCTGAGGTGGCCTTGGCTTGCCTCTTACACTTCCCAAGGGGTGAGATTACAGGCTTGTGTCACCATGACTGGGTCCAGTTTTTCACTAGCATTTCTTTACAGGCAAAAACAATCCTTAGATTAAAGAAATGTGTAATAAAAAGGCATAAGCAAAATCCTCATTACTTTGAAGCTAAGAACTCAGGGTTGTGCACACACAAAGTATTCATTCAACCATTGAGTTATATATATCACCAGCTAAAACTAATGTTCTCTACAGCCGGAAAAGAGGCTTATTGTAGAAGTACAGGTTACAGATACTAATCAGTTGCAATTTCCCATAACAGTCAATGTTTAACAACACAATATTTTGAAACAGGGGTGTAACGAATATGAGGACAACACACACACATACACCTTTAAAATTAAAAAGTAGGGACTGGAGGGATAGCTCACCCAATAAAGTGCCTGTCTAAACATGAACTCAAGCCTAGAACCTATGTTTAAAAACACAAAAAAAGGCACAATAGCACACAATTGTAATTCCAATTCTGGACAGGTTGAGATAAGCATTCTGGGAACTTGATGGTCTATGTGACAAGTTCAAGGTCAGTGTCAGGCCTTATCTCAAAAAAAAAAAAAAAAAAAAAAAAGATGGGCAGCACCTAGGAATGAAACTCCAAGTCATCTGACCTCTACATGTATACAGACGCCTGTGCACACACAGACACACAAACTAAAAAGTACTTCACCAAAAAAAATCTAAAGGCCAAGGCAAGAAATGTACAAAATAAGCCTGGAAAACCTTATCCTACCAGAATGCAAAGATGCTATCAAAGGACCTTGTCAAAAGATGTTGAGACCAATGTCAAGAGATTCCTAACAATTAAGATAGGAGTGTTTAAGCAAGCTATCAACATAACCCTCACAGTCGACAAGATATCAAATGTATTTAAATGTATGAACTCATAACAAAACTTTAAAACTCAGCTGAGCGTTGGTGGTGCACGCCTTTAATCCCAGCACTCAGGAGGCAGAGGCAGGCGGATCTCTGTGAGTTCAAGGCCAGCCTGGTCTACAGAGCGAGTTCCAGGACAGCCTCCAAAACAATACAGAGAAACCCTGTCTCGAAAAACTTAAAAAAAAACAAAAAACAAAAAACTTTAAAACTCAAATCCTTTATTTGTAGCCTTTGAAGGACATTGGGAACAGATTTACTATTTTGAAAATTAGTAAATGAAGACAGCGAATCAAGTCTTGTCTTTCCTATAAAGACTACATTCTGGAGTAGTGAAATTGCTACTGAGGGAAAGTTTCTCTTTATAGTTAAGCTAATAAATTTTTGGAAGTTTTGGAATTCTAATGAAATAATGGATACAGGAAATAATAATCAAGACAGGTACAGTCCCCAATTGACTCTAGAATGAATGCTCCAATCACCTATACAGCATTTTGCCCCCTCGTTACTAATCTGAATCTAATAAGCATCTACTCACTTACAGGACAGATGGGGACAAAGAATATGTTAGATATCACTAGACAGTCAGACTGTGGGTAACCATAGGACAAATGACTTGGCCTTCTTCAATCACAACAAAACTTCGAAGATGTGAGAGGAGGAAAAGCCTAAATCCATAAGGTCTGTTTACATTGATAATCTAAGAGATATATGAAGCGATTGTGGTCCATGAACTGATGTGTTTAATTTAAGCAAACAAACTTCAAGGGGAAAAGTTGAGATAAATGTGAATACTGGAGAGGTAAACTCTTCAGAAAACAATGCCCAGCTACCGGTGAAGAGTGAAACCTGTTATGATGGGCTCCTACTAACAAAACACTAACCAGTTGTGAAGCAGAGCAAGTTATTAAGTTTCTCCATCTGTAATTGAGAGAGCTAAACCAAAGCATGCCCAGAGCCCGCTTCTCCCACCGACAACCTGAGTCACAAAGAGTAAAGGACTCACCTCGTTACTCCTCCAAGGATAACTGCCCCAGCTACCGTTCCACTGCAGACCAGGAGCCACCGGCCCACTGCCTGCTCAGCTGCCCTCGAAGGAAGGGGCGCTGTACCTTTCCCGGATCGCAAAGCCACTTCAGCGATGGTGCCATACTGCCCTGGCCTCAGAGGACGCCTGCTGCCGAAGCTGCAACCACACTAAGGACGGAGAAAGAAAATCATACTTGAAGAATCGGGGAGAGACTGCTCAACACACTCAGCCTCAATTTGCCTGGAGAAAAGCATCCCATAAGGCTGCATTTTCACAGCTACCAATCTGGTGGATTGCTGTCTCTCATCTGGACCACTGGAAACCCTTTTCCTAATGGGCTTTCTCCTTTTGGTCTCCAAATGTGCTATACTCCCCCCCCCCAGCCCCAACAGGTGCCCTGCCTGACTGATACTACCCACTGCAGATCTGGGCTTGCCTTGTTACTCCCCAGACTTGACAGGCCACCCTCACAGCACAAGGACCTCCCCTACCACAACCCTAAACATACTGCCTGCCATGTGTCTTCAGGTCATCTGTCCCTGTGGCTCACTAATCTGGGAGCTATGCAAATCAGGTTCCGGTCAATCTCTCTCTCTTACTATCTCTGTTTGAAGCACTGGTCCCTTACATGGCAAGACCTAATACACATTTAACAAGTGACCAACACTGGAGTGAACTGACTCTTCCAGGGCACGGGCTGCCATGTGAGCATGTTTCTCTTCCTAGATCATGACACAGTGATAATGACTAGAATCCTCTGCTTTCTCTTCACATCCCCCAAATCTTTCACCTTTTAGTAGTGGGTATCAGATAAGAGAATGCATGTCCTCTTTGGTTCTAACCCTACGAGTAAGAAAATGTATGTTCAGTTTCCTAGTTCTAATTAACTGGGTAAGGAGACAAAGTAAGCCTCACTTTTCTTCTCTGTAGAATGGGGTTATACAGCAGTTCCTGACTTAGCAAAAACCCAAACGTGCAAAAAATACAGAGCGTTTATCACGTGCTGAAAGTTTAATGCATATTTAAAAACGGAATCCTCACCAACACCTTGGGAAACAGTAGTTATCCCTTTCTACAGATGAGGAAATTGAAACATAAAAGCTAAATGAATTGGCCAGGATTACACAAACAGGGGGCACTAGTTCCGGATCCTCATTCGGGGCTGTCCCGACACGAGGAAATGTGTCGTGAGATAAGGGGATAACAACTCGCGGGCGGTTCATTAACTTTATTCTAGCCTTTTTCACCCCAGCCGGGCTCCCGTGATCGGCCCAGCTGCAGTGGGTACCTGTGCTCTGGACGCCGCCCTAGGGACGAGGAGCCCGACACCGCGGCTCCCCACGAAGGCCTTCAGGGGCGGAAGGAGCAACCGTTGCATACTGACAGCGCACAGCCTCCCCCGGAACGCCCCAGCTGCGGTCCCCGTCTCCTCTCCGGAAAGGAGAAGCACTTCCGGGCCAGACCCCCGCGCGCGCCCCCTGCGCGGCAGGCTGAGCACTGCGCCTGCGCCTACGACTCGGCTTCGCGGGCGCGGCGGGGCGCGGGCGTCGGGAACGCGCCTCCTCCGTCGCTCGCGCAGCCGCGGGGACTCAGTGGAAACCGAAGGCGAGCGAGGGAGGAACGCGGGAAGCATGAAGAAAGGGACTTCCTGCGAGCGGAAGCCGGCGTGGATGCAGTCGGGGAAGGCGGGTGCGGAAGGTGGCCTGGCAGGGTGGTCGGCCGGTCGACCCCGGGGTGGGTCCCCGCCTGTCACGGGTCCGGGGCTGTGACGCTTCCCGCGAGCCCCCTCGGCTTCTCGGGGGTCCCGGCGGGTCACGCTTTCCCACAGGTTCCCTCAGCTCCCCCCTGCCGCTGTGGTAGATAATAAACTAGCGGGATCTGTTTCCACAGCCATTGGGTTGGTTACAGGTGACTGTTTGCTTCCGGCGGGAGTTGTGCAGGCTGGCTGTCGCGGCAGACGGGAATTAGTCACATTTCTTCAGTGAACTCTTAGTTCTCCCAACCAGCGGTTCTCACATTTGTTTTCCTTGGCGCTTACTGTCCTGAAACTACTGGCTGATAATTAGAAAATAGCCCCAGTGTACCTATTATATGTTAAACAGAATAGTGTAGGTGGCAGTGCTCTGTACTTTACAAGGCTCTTAATATAGAAGGTAGCTGGATCCTCATGCTTACATCTGCGTCCCATCTGACACATTTGGTAGTGCCTGCGTCCCACTGATGAGAGAGGGGCTAAGACAGAAAAAGTCAAGTAAAGGCACAGACTCGGAGTCCCCAAAGCTACCGAGTATCATTTCAGCACTGCCGCCTCTGTTTTGATCCCTACAAAACACTTTGCTGCTTAGGCTCCCGTCATAGCTACGCCCATCCTCTTGTGTAAAGCTACTGATTCCTTGAGCATTGTCGTTTCCACTGGTGTGACTGGTGATGTGGCTGTCTGATGTGTGGAGTTAGGGAATTGTTGTTAAGACCATAGACTAACATTTGAGTTCCAATCTATGGGACCCGTAGTCCTTTATTAAATAAATGGCAATTGCAACTTCATATTAGGAGGTAACAGAGTTTTGTTTTTCAAAGTTATTTTCATCATAAAAGCAACATCAAAAAATAAAAATAATTACCAATTCATTGTCCATTAGTAACCACTACCACAGCATGATATCTTCTTACAGAAATCATTACATGAAGCATGAATTACACTTTTGCTTTGTTTTTGGAGACAAGGTTTCTCTGTAACATTCCTGGCTGTCCTGGAACTCACATTGTAGACCAGGCTGGCCTTGAACTCACTGAGATCTGCCTGCCTCTGCCTACCAAGTGCTGGAATCAAAACTGTGTGCCACCACCTCCCAACGAATTGGGCATTTTTAAATTGTGTTGATCTTTATTGTGTGTGTGGGGGGGGCTACATGTGGTATAGTGAGTGGATGGAGGTCAGAGGACAACTTTGTAGAGTTGTTTCCAGTTTTAAATACATTTACGAAGTGAACTCAGGCTGTCAGGCTTGCACAGTGAATAGTTTTATCCAATGAGCATTTTCTAGGCTCCAACATTTAAATTCTTAATTACAAATACATTATACATTTAACTTGCAGGAAAAACCCAAAGCCACTAACCCATACTTTTTAGTATTAACATGTGAATTTGTAATTCATGTTTTAGTATATATTTGAATGACTTGTTAGCATGGTAGGTCCTGTGCTTGCTGAGAGGTGAAGATAAAGAATTCTTAAATAACGGCGTTCTTAAGAAACTTCATGTCGCCAGGCGGTGGTGGCACACGCCTTTAATCCCAGCACTTGGGAGGCAGAGGCAGGTGGATCTCTGTGAGTTCGAGGCCGGGCTGGACCGACAGCCTCCAAAACAATACAGAGAAACCCTGTCTCGTAAAAACCAAAAAAAAAAAAAGAAAAAGAAACTTCATGTCAACCAATAGAGATCAGATATGTATCCCATAAGTAAGAGGGGAAACTAGGGTTTTAATGAGAAATACGGAACTCAAGTTACTGGAGTTCAAAAGAAGGATATCAACGTTTCTACTTTGGGAGAAAAAAAAAAACATGGAAGTGTGACTTGGTAAGATCCTTGGAAAAGTTTAGCATTTGAAGATGAATCTAGGAGGATTTTAACAATTGGGATAGTATAATCATTGGCAAAGATGGACACTGAAGAACACTGGAGTCACAAAGAGGAAATAATATGTAGTTTATTCATGACAATCCTTTTTGAATGTTTACTGGGTGTATCTGTATGTAAATTATCTCCATGTTCATACTGTGAGGACAGGAGTTGAAACCTCCGTTTCATGGAAAAGTAACTTGTCTAGGGTCACACAGTGAAGAAAGTGGTGGGACCAGGGTTTGAACCCTTGTTTTTAAATATGTGTTCCTTATAACTGTTGGCGCTGAGAGGCATTCTGAGAGTCCAAGCTGAGACACCATGAAGAGGTCTGTGTTTCAGGAAGATTAATTTCACATTTAGTATGTCCTAAGATGGTTTCAGTTTGGTTTCTTTTGCATTTGTCTGTATATCTGTTTCCCAGTCTGGAGATAACGGCTTTACCACATGGATGGATCATAGTGTCTCTGTTTGTTTCTCTATTGCACATTTGGATTCAGGCAGCAAATACTGAAGTATAAGTAGAAGATTGGTATGAATTGTTAGTTCCTTCAAGAATTTCTGTTGTTCGTGTATTTTAGGAGCACCAAATGGATTTCTTATGGAAATATGTGTAGATTCAGTGGAGTCGGCCATGAATGCAGAAAGAGGAGGTAAGGGGAACTAGACAATGAGTAGTGGCTGATGGCCTTTTTTAGAGTCTGAAGATGAATCCCTATGAACTGACCTCAGAAAAGACCTTACCAAACGGGGCATCTGGGAGGCTGAGGCAAAAGGGTTACTGTGAAGTCAGTGTGAGCTATAGAATGAGACTCCATTTAAAGAAAAAAAAAAAAGCCCTAGAAAACCTACTGAAGGGCTTGGCGTGGTGGCACTTGCTTATAATTCCAGCACGGGAGAGTTAGCAGCATGAGGGTTGAAAGTTTGAGGTCAGCTTGAGCTAGATAGGGAGACCTTGCTTTAGAAAGTAAAGCAAAATTAAAAATTTATTGGAAAATTACTGTCTAATCTTCCCTTCCCCCAGTAGGTCACATTTTAAGTTAAGCATCTATAATCCTGCTTATTCACTAATGTGATTATTTTATTGAACTTGACACAAGTTTAAGAAGTCGAAATAGTTTAAAGATATTTTTAGGGGACTGAGCAAGTAGCTCAGTGACGAAGCAGTTGTAGCATGTGCAATCCCCAGTATTGAATAAGAATGAACATTAAAGATGGTTTTAGATGTCTTATCTTTTTACCATAGGTGCTGTTTTGTTTTGTATCTAAATTTGTTTTTGTGAGCAGCATAGACATTTCCATCATCTCAAGGTCAGAAAAATAATTTTAACTTGTTTTTTTGATAGTACTAGGGGTAAAACCCAGGGTCTTGTGCATTTTGGGCAAGCATTCTACTAAGCTATGTCCCCAAACATTTATTTTTAATTAAGGAACATTTTCAAACATAAGTGAATCAGACATAACATGTGAATTCCCATGTGCTGGCTAGTTTTGTCATTTGGGTAGAAGGACCATCAGAGTATAAAATATCCCTACCAGGTTGGCCTATGGGCCAGCCTGTGGTACATTTTCCTTATTAATGACTGATATAGGAGGACCCAGCTCACTGTGGATAACACCACCCGTGGGCCAGTGGTCCTGGGTACTATAAGAAAACATTGAGTGCCGGGCGATGGTGGCGCATGCCTTTAATCCCAGCACTCAGGAGGCAGAGGCAGGCGGATCTCTGTGAGTTCGAGGCCAGGCTGGACCAACAGCCTCCAAAACAGAGAAACCCTGTCTCGTAAAACCAAAAAAAAAAAAAAAAAAGAAAGAAAGAAAGAAAGAAAGAAAGAAAGAAAAAAAAGAAAACATTGAGCAAGCCAGTAAACAGCAGTCCTTCATGGCTTCTCTAGTTCCTGCCCTGGCTTCCCTTAGTGATAGACTTATAAGGTAAAAGAAACTCCTCCTCCAGTTGTTTCTGGTCATGTTTCATCACAGCAGTGGGAATCCTAACACCCCATCTACTCACCATTCGGTTTTGTGTTAGTTGCTTTTCTTGTTGCCAGACAAAAGAAACAAAAGGGAGAGTTTATTTTGGCCTCCAGTTTGAGGATATAGTCAGTCCATCATGGCACTGAAGGCATAGCGACACAGCTTGAGGCAGCTGACCCATTGTGTCTGCAGTCAGGAAGCAGAGATGTGGATGCTGATGCTCAGCTGGCCTCCTTTTCTTTTCTTTTCTTTTTTTGTTTTGGGACCCCAGCCCATGAAATAGTGCCACCACATTCAATGAGGACTTTCCCTCCTCAGTTACACGTCTCTGGAAACTCCCTCTACTCAAAGATGCACTCAGAGATGTGTCTCCTTGGTGATTCCATATCAAATCAAATTGACAAACGAAAAGCAATCATTACATACTTGGGCAGTCATTTTCAGCAAATATTTTTGGTAGGGAGCAGTTTCCATGTTTTCAATTTTGCTGAACACATTTGATTATTGTCCCTCCATGTTGCTTTTTGAAAACCTTTAAGAATGTAGAATCCTTTCATAGCAATGAGAAGGAATGGAGGAGTGATGGTTGCTATAACAGATGATATTTTTCCTCCCTGGCTCCCCGTGGGGATTGAACCTAGGACTTTGTACATGCTGTATTACTGAGCTACATAGCCCTTATTTTTGGTTGTTTTGAGAGAGTCTTGCTATAACCCAGGGTAACCTCAAACTGTGATCCTCTTACCTAAGCCTTTCAAGTGGTAGGATTGCAGACATGTACTGCCACACTTTATGATTTCTTCATTTTGTTGTTGACTTGTTGCATGCACTATGATGTTCACCATTCAGAGTGTCAGTCTCAACTTTGCTGTTTATGTAAGTGGTGCAATATATTATTTTGTAATCACTTTATTCCCTGTTGAGTTGTAGTTCACCCAGCCCTTTAAAATCCAATTCAGAACTGAATTTTAATAAAATTGTTTCATAGGGATGGACAGATGGCTCATTGGTTAAACACACTGGGTGCTTTTCCAAAGGGTTTGGGCTCAATTCCTAGCCCCTCGTCGTGGCTGACAACTGTCTTTAACTGCAGTTCCAGGGAGTCAGATGCTCTCTTCTGGCCTCTATGGGCAGCAAGCATACACACAGTATACAGACATGCAGGCAAAATAGCGAGGCTTAAAAATAACCCTAACCCTAAGCTGGAGAAGGTGGTGCATGTCTTTAACCCCAGCACTCAGGAGATGGAGGCAAGTGGATCTCTATGAGTTTGAGGTGAGCCTGGTCTATGCAGCCAGTACTAGAACAGCCAGGGCTATATAGAGAGACCCTGTCTCAAAACATCAAAATTAAAATGAAAATATAGAAATAAAAAATAATTTTTAAAAATGACTTTATAGGCAGTATCCTGTTGTATTACATTAGAAGGACATCTTGTTTTTTTTTTGTGCATGTATATGTGTGTGTATAATGTTAAGATTAGTCAGTGGATTCAGGGGTTACCAGCCTGATCTATCTTTTATAAGTTTTCCAGTCATTTGTCAATCTAATAATTTGTGTGTGTGTGTGTGTGTGTGTGTGTGTGTGTGTGTGTATATGTGTGTGTATATATTTAAGGTTGGATTTTGTTTGTTCTTTTGTTTTTGGAGGTACATAGGATATTACTATGTAGTTGAGGCTGACCTTGAACTCATGATAATCTTTCTGCCTCAGCATTCCAAGTGCTAGAATTACAGGTGTGTACCACCATGCCCTGCTTAATATTTATTTATGTATTCATTCATTCATTCACTAGTAACAACCAGAAAGAACAACTTTTCATCATTTGTTCATATTGAAATGTGGTTGTATGAGAGGAAGGGAGAAAGGCAGGCTTCTCTGCTCACTCATTTTCAAAATAGCACATCTGTTTGCTATCCTCCAGTGAGTTGTCTTGGCATAAAACTAGATATAGTCGTATATGTTTTTATCTATCATAGTTGCTTTGTTTATTAATGCTTAAAATATCCTATCTTTGGCTAGTGAGAGCCTTGTCCCTGAGACGTTTTAACATGATTCCAATAGTTCTTTTGCTATCAACATTCACCTCACCTTGAAATTATCTTGATAGCTACTCTAAAGTAACTTTTGTTTTGTCTTAAATCTTAGAGTAATGAGGAATGTTTTGAAAAGTTGATGTTACTTTCTTACTGATTGAGAGTTAACATTCTACTATTTTCTATCCAATAGAGCCCTTATTCCCTGTGCATAATAACTCTAATACAATTTTTAAGAGAATTGGCTTTACTTGAATTTACTCTTAATTTGACTATCATTAACACAATAAGGATTGTAGAATACAATTGAGATTTAAAATGTTTTTACTCTAATTTTATACTTTTATTTCTTTCAATTAAATTCTCAGGTTCTTTTTGTATTTAGATAAACAGTTTGTCTTGTCATAGGAACGTTAAAAAATGTGTTTTTAAAAAGGTGCTGGTCGGATTGAATTATGTGCTAGCTTACTAGAGGGAGGAACCACACCCAGCATGGGTAAGTATCTTTCTTTTTCACTAAATTTCTCATACAGAGGTTGGGACAAGTGATTATTTAATGTTAAGTATATGATGACTATGAAACCAATTAGAAATGCTTATGGTTGTAAATAACATCATCAAAAGATTTAATTAAACATATTTTTGTTCTCATACATCAAAAAGTTGGAAGGTAAATTGTTTTTATTGTATCAGTGATAAGTGCTTTTAAGTATCTTCCGTCCTTATAAATTGCTCTTCTTTAACCCTTGATTTTTCTATTACTTAACTTCCACCATAAACACTTTTGTTTCCTCATTGGCCTCCACGGCTTGGTCCTGGAAGCAAAGACAGACAGACAGACAGACAGACAGATACACACACACACACACACACACACACACACACTCTCTCTCTCTCTCTCTCTCTCTCTCTCTCGCATGCAGAGAAGCTGGGATGTGATGGGTCATGCTTGCTCTGATGGAGTGGCACCAACTATGCAACAAGCTGAAGTCTCAGCCTATGTATCATGTTCAGCACAGGTAGACTAGTAAGCTAGACTCTGTATGTGGCGTGTGTAGGGGCGCAGTCTTAGGTTCCAGTCATCTGGGAGGAGGAAGCTGCAGTTGCTAGTTTTTACACACTGTGGTCAGTCATTTGTAAATGCTCACACTTGGATCAGAGAACAGGCTTTGCCATGCCTCTGAGCCTCACCCAGAGGAAGGCTTTGCCAGTTTCCATGGGTCTGAGGCTTTGGTCTTTGTTAATAGTGCATTCACTGAGGACTCCATCCATTCTTTAGACATTCACTCAAGGTTTCTGCTGTTCTCCATAGGCCTCCTTCTGATGTCATCATTCTCTGAGTTCTGTCAACCCTTTTCCTTTGGAAATAATACATAAGAATAACTATATAAGACCAACGGTATTTTAATAACTTCTCCAGATCTTTTAGGTTACAGTTGAACTTTAGTCTGCTTCTGTTCTTACAGGTATTCTTCAAGTAGTAAAACAAAGTGTCCAAATTCCAGTTTTTGTGATGATTCGACCACGGGGAGGTGACTTTTTATATTCAGATCGTGAAGTTGAAGTGATGAAGGCTGACATTCGTCTTGCCAAGCTTTATGGTGCTGATGGTTTAGTATTTGGAGCATTGACTGAAGATGGACACATTGACAAAGAGCTGTGCATGTCTCTTGTGGGTAAGAATTTATAGCTATGGTGTAAAAGCCTCTAGTACACACACACACACACTCCTGATGCAGGAAAAAAAATCACAAAATTGATTTTTCAGCCATAAGTGTAGATACTTAAACTAGCCTATCTTAAAAAGAGGTTATTTAAATATTTGGGGCAAAGGGTATGTGGCAAAGCCCTCTCGAAACTCCTTTGTTGCTGTAGATCAGGTACTACTCTTGCAGAGTTTAAGAGAAATTTACATTGATTACATTAACCCATGCACCAAAACTTAAGAAGTTATTCTAGTCAGTAATGAGGAGAGGAAGTAGACAAGATAGATATAAACTACCTACATTACAAAGCCAAAGTTTTTCTTGAAGATTCTTGAGTAGCCAAGTAAAAGGTGTAATTCTATCTTTACAGTTCATTGTTTGGTGCCCCTAAGGTGTAGATAGCTGTCTGTATTTTATATATAAAAGTCAGAGCTTAGATAGGACTTTTGAGTTTATGAGGCTGCCATTTTGTTACTGTTTTAGTTCACTATCTTAGCAGAAGAGAGTATAAAAGTTTTGCCCAAGGAGAATTCTGCATATAGTAATCAGCCTCTTCATGCTTTTGTGTGACTTTCTTTTTATAGCTCTTTGCCGTCCTCTGCCAGTCACTTTTCACCGAGGTGAGTCATTTCTGTTTTAATAGGTTTGTTAAATGGTGTCAGGTTTCAAATTTTACCAGATGGCATAACCCTTCTAATGAACACTGTTGTATACTGTTACAGTGATACTAGTTACAGATTTAGAAATGGTGTTCAGTGCCTAGAAAACTTGAAAGCTCTGTTAATGAAATGTTGTTAAGGTGGTGGTAGCATGTGCTTGAGAAGAGAGTAAACATTGTCTGCAAGTGTTTGTGTCCAAGCAAGTAGCAATCCTAAGACTCACTATTCATTAGATTACCTTAGATCATATGCAGCACTAAAAGGAGTAAATCACCATGGCCACTGGGGTGAAATGTACCTCCAGGCAAAACCATTCTCCATGTATAGAAATTAAGATAAATTATTTGTCACCCTTTGAAACGTATGACACTACCAGAAACTATTGTCTTGATTTGGTATTAGCAGTGTTCTTATAGAACAGCAATTACTAAAAGATGTTAGTTTGTCAGCGTCTTGATTTGGTATTAGCAGTGTCTCTTATAGAACAGCAATTACTAAAAGATGTTAGTTTGTCAGCGTCTTGATGCCAGGCACACCAAAAAAATTTAAACATGAAAAATATTTTTAAATTAGTGAACATTTATCTCAAAATATTTTAAATTTTGTCATTCTTATTAATTTTAAAAAATAAACCAGCCATATAGATTATATTTTTAAAATTTTAACTAAAAGATGACTTCAAATTTCTATTTATTTCTTTGTCTAATAAATCTAACAAAAATATTTTCACAATTTATTGAAATATTAGTAGTGTTCTTGGTCCTATTTTTTCCCATTTGTTTATTTATTAAGGCAGGATAACCATTGTTGAGAAAGCGATGGCACAGAAAAACTTCTGTAGTAAGCTAGCAGCCTGTGTCCACCAAACGGTGGAAAAGGGAGCCTGTCCCGAGGACCATATTACCTCACCACCATAATATAGATCTCTGAATCACATAATAGGGCTGAGCACCAAAGCAGAGTAGTTTTTCTGTTTTAAGGTTCCTAGACCACTTTCCTTTCTTAGTGTGCTGAAGAGAGAAGTCTCAGCCCTTCCCTCTCCACTAACCTCCTTTCTCCTCCCCTTTCCTCCCTTCCCCTGAACTTGAAATCCTTCTGCCTTATCCTCCTGAGTGCCAGAATTATAAGCCTGTGCCTCTTTTTCTGACTTAGGAAAGGAAGTATCTTAGTAGGACAGAATTGAAATGTCATGTTGTCTGTTGAAAGCAGCCAGCCTTACACTATGAGTACAAATAACTACTCAAGAAACCTGTATGTGATGCCAGGCTGCTCTAGGACAGGCACTTTTTCCAGGTGGATCGTTCACCTGTCACATTTATAGCATTATCATATTTAAATGCCTCCTATATAAATGTATTAATACTTATTTTAAGTTAAAGTTTTTTTTGTTTTTGTTTTTGTTTTTTGGTTTTTCGAGACAGGGTTTCTCTGTATTGTCTTGGAGGTTGTCCTGGAACTCGCTTTGTAGACCAGGCTGGCCTCGAACTCACAGAGATCCACCTGCCTCTGCCTCCCGAGTGCTGGGATTAAAGGCGTGCGCCACCAACGCCTGGCTTTAAGGTAAAGTTTAAGTAAGTTTATTTTAAAGAGAAAGACTTGTGATTACTGAAAATTAGAAACTTGTCACTTTTTATCTGGATCTCAGTAAATGCACCTATAGGAATATGTACTAATAAAATGACCATGCATATTACCGGTGGTATGCAGACTTTTGTACTGGCAAACTCTGACTCTTAGAAAATGAAAAGAACCTTAGGAACAACAACAACAACAACAACAACAAAAAGAGCTCTTAGAGCAGTCATGGTGGTGCATACCCTTCATCCTGGAACTCTAGAGACAGAGGCAGGTGGATCTCTATGAGTTTGAGGCCAGCCTGGTCTACAGAGTGGATTCTAGGCTACTTTTAGCTACATGATGAGACCCTGTCTCAAAAAGAAAAGAAAGAAGAAACTCTGGTTTGTAGCATTTTCTTGTTTCTGTGGTTTAAATGCTTTACCTTGACTAATTTCAAATGCCATTTTATATACCAGTATATATAATATGTATTATAATATGTGTACACACACTACATTTTGGACACTATTGAATTAGAGGATATTTCTGATCAAAATTCAAATCAGTCTTACTTATTTTAGCCTTTGATATGGTTCAAGATCCAATGGCAGCTCTGGAGACTCTCTTAACCCTGGGATTTGAACGTGTTTTGACCAGTGGATGTGACAGTTCAGCACTAGAAGGACTACCTCTAATAAAGCAGCTCACAGATGAGGTACAAGATGGCTGTGGTTACTCTGGACATTCTGTTAGATAGCTAGTTTATAAAAATGAATGTTACTGACTTGGTGATTATGGAAGAAAAGCAGAGCCAGCGACGTATTTATATGATTTTTACTTATTTATTGCATCAGCATTTTCAGTAACCAGGGTACTTGAGATCAAATTAGACAGCAAATTGTACCTTTTCTGTGTCATTAGTATTGTCTAGTTTTACACCATATCTTTTTAACTGTCAACCCATTATGTATATGCAGGAAACTCCTGTTTTCTTTCTACTGCATGCCACAAACTCAAAATATCTGTGATTTTTCCTTTAATATTTTTCTTATAAAGTTTAATTTTCCACCTGTTCTTTGTGTTTATAATATTATACATTTTAAGACAATATAATAAAAATCTTTTTGGAAAAATTATAATGCTGAATATCTTTCTTGCTCAATACCCTTTCCTTCAGAGAAAGAAAGAGAGAGCTATTGAAAAATTAAACATTAACAGTACTTAAACTTTTAATATACTTACTAATCTCAATTGAGAGAAAGATACTAAAATTTACTGTCTTTCCCCCCCCTTTTTAGGCAAAAGGCAGAATTGTGGTGATGCCAGGTATTTGTCTCTGTTTTTTCTCATAACACTGAAATAAAGTGTTGGAAGAGCAAATGAGTCAAGAAAACAAGGGAGAAAGTGTTAGAACATAGTACTTAGAGATAAAAATATATAGTTTGATTAAAATGTTTTAAGATTAGAAGGTCTCTGCTGAGATTTGAAAATGAAGAGCCTTCTAAAAGAAGTTGATTTAAAGAGGAGCAAATAAGGAATTTTCTACATGTTTGCTTTCTCACCGCTTAGAATATTATAAATTCGAATATTCATCTTAGTGAGACAGAGTAAGTTCAGTGCTGCTGTCCTATGATAAAGCCAAATGTTAGGCAACATGCCTGAATAAATGGAATATTCTGCCAGCCCATACAATTGTATCAACAGACTTGAGGTCAGAAATCACATATCAAAATCCAGCCTCTTCATGGTAAGTTCAGAAGAAAGTGGGGCTAGAACGAACATATCTCAACATAAAAAGGCTGCATATGACAAACCTACATTTAAAGAGCTCAAAGTATTTCCACTAGACTCAGTTGAGTCTAAGTAGAGTCATATAATTTCAGTACGATCACACAGCTTTTTACAGTTGTAGTTGGAAAGCCCAGAATTTTAATCTAAATCTGATTTGTCAGCCTATGTTCTTTCTGTTTTGTTTTGTTCTGTGTTGTATTGTGTTTTTATTATTGTTGTTGTTTGTTTGTTTTGCTGTTTTGTTTTGTGAGACAGGGTCTTGTTATGTAGCCCAGACTGGTCGTACTTGAGCTCATCCTGCCTCAGCCTCAAGTGCTGATATTAGAGATATTCACCACTCTGCCTGGCTTGTTCTTTCCACATTTTAAGGGTTCAGCAATATGACTATAGCACTAACAACAACAACAAATAGCCAAGTTAATGAGTCTGAATAAGTTTATTAAAAACATAGCTTAAAGTACAAAGTGCATAATTACTACCATCTTAAAATGTTTTGAATGTATTTTCTATATCAAAATATGAAGATGAATAATTTCATATTTATAATTACTGGTATCAGTTCAGAGTATGACTGTCATAAATATGTTAAAGATTACCAAAATGAATGTCATCATAAAGTACTTGGCTATGTAGTTTAAATAAAGTAAAATTAGATTCATCAGTGAAATGGAACAAAGAGTTAATCATACAACAAAAAAGCTGTAAATAGTTTGCTTACTCTTATTTCCAGTAGAGTCAGTGTGTTCTTCAAATCCTGGGCCAGAGTGAAACGTTGCAGGTTCTCTGTTGAGGATAAGCTTCTAATGCTTTTGTAGCTTTTTCCTCAAACCTATCTTGAACTTTCCATATATAAGTTGAGGGGAAAGCAATAATGAAATTCTGAATGATTTTCCTTGTTCAGAATAGTCCTTTTAAATCCAAAGTTAATAATGCATAGCATTGTGACATAAACCAATGTATAAATGGGTTTCTTTATAAGCTCTGTCCTTATAAGTTCTCCAGAGTCTATATTTGTCTTCTGACCCAGTTTTTGCTTAGAGACAATAATTGTTGAATCGGTGGAGATTTTATGTAGAATAAGGATTTGTCATGTGATATTCTGTTCCATTTAGTATATTCATTTTTCTTTGTAACAGGAGGTGGCATAACAGATAAAAATTTACAAAGGATCCTTGAGGGTTCAGGTGCTACAGAATTCCACTGTTCTGCTCGGTCTTCTAGAGACTCAGGAATGAAGTTTCGGTACAAATACATTCTTTATGTACAGGATAGGCTGAAATTAATCTTTGCTTGCTTAAATAAGAAAACCTTAGTTAATGCCACTATTGAATAATAGAATGCTGTGATTAGTAAGTATTATAATTGGTTTTTCAGTTGAAAATATTCCTAAAATGATTGTTACTCTGCAGACATAAACAGTAGCTTTAGAATATCAATAAACCTTTACATAGCCTTTGCTTAGTCTTGTTAGCCATCAACGTTTTTATGGTTGTATGTAGTCTGTGTGTCCACTAAGAGAGAGACTGTTAATTCTGTGGGAATGATTTCCTAATTCAAGCATTGCTGAACTTAAGCACTTAATAAATTAATTCAGCAGTAAAGTATCCAGTGAGTCAGATACTCACATGTACTCATTCTGTATGCTTTCCTTTTACTAAGTTAATAATTGGTACAAGGCAGCCTCAGTACCATTTTTATCTTCCTTTACCTTTGCTCTCTACTTGTAGTTGTTTTGAAATTTTATCATCATTAAGGACTTTAAACTATGATGTTTATTTTTTCAATACCCTAGAGGAATCCTAACTTAATTGAATCGTCTTTACTGGGGAGGAAAGGGTTCAACATAAAAAAGGAAGACCTTAGCATGTACAGTTTCAGATATGAAATCCAATTTCCTGCCTGATAGATTTAGCTACTAGATTTTTCAAGTAATTACCTTCCTTTATTCTTGAGCCATGAATTAGTTTATAAAGTGAAGGAGGGTGTGTTTAGCAACTGATACGATTATCTCTTCTTTGTTGTTTCTATTGCAGAAATTCCTCTGTTGCAATGGGAGCTTCACTTGCTCATTCAGAATATTCTCTGAAGATAACAGATGTGACAAAAGTAAGGACTTTGTATGCTATTGCAAAGGATATCCTGGTTTAGTGAAACTTCTCTGAGAGACATGGCGGTCACAGTGGGAAGGTAGAAGGAGAGCTTTCAATTCTCCACATGACCATGGAGTATGCTTCTAAGAAGAAAAAGAAATTGTAACAGCAATGCAATCATTTTCTTTGTCAGTCATTGCTGTCATCGTGGCTAAATTTATTCTGTGCTTCCACAGAGACTTAGTCAGTTTTCAGTGGAATTAACTGATAAACTGGTAAAGTTCAACTACAAGGTATGAAATCAGAATTTGGTTTAGGGTCAGTTTAGTACCATGTCTTTTGCCTTTTTTGTTTGTAAAATAAAAATTCTCATTATATTGTATTATCGTCTTATATTTTTTCACTTAATATTATTTCACTTAAGATTGTTTTGCTTTTCTATTTCTTTTAGTTTTTTTTCTATCATGTACTCATTGGATTTGTTGCTCAGGGCAAGATGTAAAGGTTACAGTAAAATGGTATAACATTTCCCAGACTTGGACTTTTTCTTTCTCTTATATTCTGACATCAAAATTGAGGCAAGAATATGGTATGTGTTCCAGTGGGAAATGTTAGTTTTCTTTGGATCTTTCAGTAGCCACAATGAAAGGTGGTGCTGACAACATAGGAGCCAAAAGTCTATATCTCTGTCTAAAGGGGTCAAGGTGCTGGATGACATAGTGATGGCCACAGTTAAAGGCAAACCAGAGCTCAAAAAGGAAGTACAGCCAACACTGGTAATTTGGCAGTGAAAGTCATACTGGAGCCAGGTACAGTGGTATGTGCCCGCAGCCATCTGTAACTAAAGTTCCAGGAGATCCAAGGCCTTCCTGTGGCATATTCAGACACATGATCCAAGGCCTTCCTGTGGCATATTCAGACACAAGGCATGCATGTGGCATATAGACTTACATGCAGGCAAAACACCCATACATATAAAATACAAAACACCTGTACATATAAAATACACACAAAAAAGCAGAAATAAGTTTCTAGACTCAGTAAAATATATACTTGCAAAGAAATGTAATTTAGTGTTTTAGCCTAACTCTCTCCCATGTTTAGGCTGTCTATTCCCAGAACTCTGGGAGGCAGAGGCAGGCAGATCTCTGTGAGTTCGAGGCCGGGCTGGACTGACAGCCTCCAAAACAATACAGAGAAACCCTGTCTCGTAAAACCAAAAAAAAAAAAAAAAAAAAAAAAAAGCACCAGGCACTCATTGTTTATTCTTTTCTCCCATGTTAGCTTTCTAGGATCAGCCTTTGACAGTTTAAAAGCCCTTTCCAGGAGGCAAAGAGCTTTAAAGTCAGCACTTATTTTGTGTATTCCACTATATGAGTATAAAAAAAATAGAACAAAATACTGTGATCCTTTCCTTGGTTTTTCCACATTTTAGTCCTGTTTTAAAATACTTTTTGCCACTAACTGGTGTGGTGTAGGCCTTTAATCCCAGGAGGCAGAGGTAGGCAGATCTCTGTGAATTTGAGGCCAGTCTGTTCTACAGATTGAGTTCCAGGACAGCCAGGGCTATACAGAGAAAACCCTGTCTTGAAAAACCAATACATAAATAAAATACTTTTTGCCTTGGCCATCATGTTTTGTCACAGCAATAGAAAAGTATCTAATACAATAGGGTTCTAAGACAATTCACTGGGAAGCGTATTTGTTTAAAATAATCGTAACAAATGGCACTGGAAAAACTGGATATCCACGTGCAAAATATTAAAGCTAGATCTTTATGCCATGTACAAAAATAAAAGGATCCCAACCCTAAGTATAAGTTCAATATCACAAACCATTTAGAGGAGGGCAGCAGTGAGTCTGTGACCATGGATTAGCCAAAGAGCACACGTGGCAAACATAAAGTAGGAATGCGCCGCACTTTGTCAAAGTAAAAAACTTAGGCTCTAAAGGATAACATCAATAAACTAGAATGGGAGAAAATCTTTACAGTCATGTCTGATAATGCATAGTAGCTAGAATATATAAAAAACATTTAAAACTCAAATCATGAAAAACAATCTAATTTTAAAATAGCAAATGATTTAAATAGAAATTTCTAAATGAAAGTTACAAATAGTTACCATTTTTTTAGTCACTAGGGGAACTGCAAATGGAACCCACAATAAATTACCCTTTATTTGCCCAAAGATGATTACTCCAAGTGCTGGAAAAGAAACTAGAACCTTCATGTACTAATAATGGGAGTGTAAAATGGTGCAGCTATTTTTGTAGAACAGTCTGGGAATTCATCAGAGTGTTAAACACAGAGATGCAGTATGACTCAGCAATTACATATCCAAGGAACTAAAAGTATATAAGTGTCTATACAAAAACTTGATACATGGATATTCATGGTAATATTACTTATCCCTTAGAGTGGTAATATTACTTATCCCTTAGAGAATAACCACTTTGCATCTCCTAGTCAAGTAGGAATTAAGAATGATCTGAGTTAAAATCTTTAGGTAAAAATGTTGATTGAGAGCTAAATTTTCTACATGGTGCTAAAATGCTGATTTACAGATTATTTACTAATTATTAGAATGGGAACTTGACCTTATATTTCACTATTTGGTTATAAACCACCATAACTCATCAATCAAGCTTAAGTTTGCAAATAGTGGAAGACCATGGAAGGAACTACTTTTTTGCACAGACTAGCAAATATCTGGATTGAACCAAGGAAGACCTTCTGAAAGGCAGGATTTGAAGAGTTAGACACCTGGAAATCAACTATAACAAAGTTATGTAGTGGATGGCCTTTGGCCAAACAAAACTGAATTATGCACTTCATTTTTTATACAAGTATGCATACTAACAAAGAAAAAGTGAGTTACAGCATCAGCTCATAGATTGACAACCATCTCATTTTAGAGTTTTGCTTGTTTGTTTGTTTTTTACAGTTTTAGCCCTTCAAAAGTACCTCATCCTGGAAACAAAAAGGTGATACTCTCCCAGCTCAGTAAAATGACCTTGGCACCTTTTCTTTTGGACCTTGCCTGTCAGCCTCAATCCTAGATTGAGGCCTTGACAAACAAGGAAAAATGATGATAGGAATGCTTCTTTGTTCCCCAGTGTGGTTCTGCAAACAAGAAGGAACTCTGAATTGGATATGAGGTTTATTTTTTTTTCTTTGGGGATTTTATTTATTTTGTTTTAGGGGATGATAGAAATGGTTGCCAAATTGGTTGTGATGATGGTTATTGTATAACTTGGAATAGGCTGAAAAATAATTTTCTCACAAAGCAATTGAATTGTATATTTTAATAAAGTTGATTTTTAAAAAGGAAATATGTGAAGAAGGTTTTACTAGATTGGTCCACAACATTTCATACCTATGACCCCCAAAACTATGCTTGAAATGGAGTCAAGGAATAGATAATATGAGTGACAACATCAGTGAAAGCAAAGCACTGTTTCTTATTCTCTAATTTGTATCTCTCAGTAGCCTCTTGACGAATCTCTCCAAAGCTAGATCCACTCATCAACTTTTCTATTAGATTTAGAATTTTAAAAATTGATTCCAGTTTTATTTATTTGGATCTCTGTTACTTAGAACCAAACAAGGCTTGACTAAATTACTGTCTCCCTCTCTTCATTGACTGATAAGAACAGCAGAGTCAAATTTGCAGCATTTGTGTAGATGGAAGCAGAAAGTGAATTTCGCACAAATGACCTATCTGTTGCTTAATCTTTTCTCTTTTCATTTGTATTTTTGTCATATTCTGTGTATTTTAAAAAACCAGTTTAAGTCCCTTTCTGATATGAAAGTAAATAGAGTTTGTTCCTGTATTATCTTGAGTCTGTACTGGAACAAAACTTCTCAATCTTTTCCATGAAACATCTTTGCCTTAGAGAAGGTCATCTTCGACCACAGATTCAGAGATGGGCCTTATCGAGGAACTTGTATCATTTAAGGTGCCGGAAAGTTTGCTTCTAATTCTGGAAACCCTCCTGAAAGTGTTCCTTTCTCTTAATATATGTTGTATCTAGAGCTGAATCCTGAAGATATTGCAGTCATCTCACACCTATTTAAGAATAAAGCTGGGTGGGGGCTGGAGAGATGGCCCAGCAGTCAGGAGCACTGCTACTCTTCCAGAGGTCCTGAGTTCAATTCCTAGCAACCACATGGTAGTTCACAACCATCTGTAATGGGATCCGATGTCCTCCTCTGTCATGCAGGCATACATGCAAGTAGAGCACTCAGACATATAAAATGCATTTTTTAAAAAGAATAAAGCTCAAAATCAGAGACAGGCATATGAAATAGAGCCACTGGAATTCTGTGGATTGTAATTTCCCAGGGGTTAAGTTACATAAAACAAAAAATATTTCATTCAAAGCACATTGATTTAGTCATAACCTTTGCAAGAGGTCCTAAACTATTAAAAAAAAAAAACACAGCTCCTTGTCTAGCTGTTGCTAGGAGCTGAGAAAACTAAAGCTATGTAGTGAGTCAATAATTTGCAAAGATAGCTTATCTTCGGAAATTCAGTCTTACTAGTGAGGAGGCTAAGCCCCTTGGTTTGACTGAGTTCAAAGGCCTCACAGGTTCAATGGAGTTTGTTGAAGCCACTCTGAGTTTAAGTCTGCTTCTCAGAGAATGCTCTTTAGACCTGAGATTTCTCCAAAGCCTGTTGCTTCTGTGAAGATAGGGCACCGTTTTGTAGGCAGTCACCATGTTTGCTCATTCCGTAACTCATTCTCAAGGGTCTAATCACAAGATACTGAGGAGACAGTCCTTCCTGTCTTTAGAGGCCACAGGGAAGCAATCTCTTAAGTAAATGACGATACAGCACAGTTGTCTCTCATGCCAAAAATCATTTTGAGGACAGCATTTTAAAATATATATTTTATTTATATTGAATTTAAAATTACATACCTATGCCAGTTCCCTCTCCCTCCCATCCTCCCACTCCCTCCACCATCCTCCAGACCCCCATCCAACCCTCAGAGAGGATGAGGTCTCCCATGGGGAATTACCAAGGTCTCATTTGGGGCAGGACTCAGGCCCTCCCCCCTGTATCTAGGCTGAGCAAGGTGTTGCTTCCATAGGGAATGAGTTCTACAAAGTCAGTTAATGCACTAGGGATAAATAGTGGCCCCACTGCCAGCGGCCCCACAAACTGCCCAAGCCCCCACTGTTTAGCCCGAATTTGTATGCCCACAATGTACCTGCTGCTCTTTAGATACAGCCTCCATAGTAGAAGATTTAAAATTTAAATTACACATTGTAAGGTATCATTTAAATAAAATATGGGACTCTTAGTTCAAACTCCTTAAAATTACTAATTAATAGACCTTCAAAGTTGTCTTTAAACAAATAAAAGCCAATTGCTAACAAAAGTACTTGCAAATTTTCTATGTATATGTATGGGTTTTTTATGTATGTGTATATATAAACACACGAGTATTTTGAAGTTATGCCAGTAGGCTTAAAAATATTTGTCTAGCCGGGCATTGATGGCTCACACCTTTCATCCCAGCACTCAGGAGGCAGAGGCATGTGGATCTCTGAGTTCCAGGCCAGCCTGATCTACAGAGCGAGTTCCAGGCCAGCCTCCAAAACAATACAGAGACACACTGTCTCGAAAAACAAAAAAAGATATTTGTCTAGTAAATTTTCTTGAGCCTACTAATTTGACCATTTTCATGTTGTCAATTCACATTATTCTCTATACTAAGTCTAGTCATCAGCTCTAGAAGGCAGTTGATAGAATTCAAAGGCATATGTCAAGGTAGTGCTTCTTGCTGGGATTTAACTTTGTCTAACAAGTATTTTGCTCCCCAGGTCCCATTGATGATGACTTGGGAACTAATATTCTACACTGTTCAAATCTTACGGGCAGGATCATGTCATCTCCTTCAGTTGTCTAGTTCTCCTGAAAGCAATGGCTATTAATTTCTTGCTAGGCAGTGTCCTATTCTTGTATTCCCATATACTTGGGAAAAAGGCAGGAGTTTGATGCCAGTTTGGACAATATAATGAGACCTTTTCTCAAGAAAAATTATATAGTTTACTTGCACTTAATGCTAGTAAAGTATATGTTTCTCCATGATGTTATAGCTTAAAGTGTCCCCTCTGTATTTTACTTATGTCAGATAAACCTTCCATATGGCTACTTTTTATCAGTATTTGTTTAGAAATTCCCTTTTGAAAAATGGTAAACCATGTTTTCCCATTTCCTATATTACCTTCTGTTTTTCAGAACCCAGAAGAGGATCTTCCCTTCTCCTGCATTTCTTCTCATGCTAGTCTGTTTGCTTCTGTTGTGTTATGATTTGTCAAGGTTATATTTTATGGGATGTGTGAAGTAAAGATCTAAAAACTTATTGCTTTTATATGTTGATATCTTGCTGTCCAAAGAACACTGCATGAGACATTCCATTTTGTCTAGTGTGTTAAAGGTTAAAAGTTGCTTGTCATCTCAGCACTTGCAGGAGGCTGAAGCTTGAAGATTAGATGTTCCAGCTAGCCTAGGTTACACAGTAAGACCCTATCTCAAACAAACAAAAACCCCTCCCCCCAAAACCCACAACCTCTTAAACAAAAGTGTATCCTTTGAATCTTCTAGGAATATGACTCTGTGCTATTGATAACTTCTATGATTGTTATGGTTTTAATTTTGTGTGTGTGCACATACCAGTGTGCCAGGACGTGACTCTACAGATCAGAGGACAACTTTGTGGAGCTGGTTCTCTCGTTTCGCCGTGATGTGGTCTCCAGGAATTGAACTGAAGCTGCCAGGCTCCTGTGGCGAGCACCTTTGCCCATTTGCAACTTTTATAAATTTAAAAGTATGACCTTAAAGACAACATAAACTTTCTTTTAGTAATTACCCTACTTGGGGCAGGCTTTAAGTCTAATGAGTTCATTTATTACTTAAATATATTCTTTGCAATTTATCCCTCAAGAGGAATTTCACTATATTCTATGTTTTAGTAATTGAAAGGAAAATGATTTTTAAAGTGTTGTTAATTATTGCCTGTATATCTTTCTTTGATCCATGGATTTGTTTGTTTGTTGTTTTAACTACTGGACTTAACACTCAGAGCCTTGCACATAGATAAGTGCTCCATCATTAAGCTACACTCCAGCCCTCGGCTCCTGTACATTCTAAAACAAACAACAACAACAAAAAATCAATGTTGTTTAGCAATATGAGAATATCCAGATTACCTTTGATGGGAGAAAGTATTTTCCTATTTCATAGCCAAAATTCTTTTCATAGTCAAAATTTTTAATTTTGTGTAGGTAGAAGATTACTATGCTAATATGAAGGGAAAAGCATTCTTTTTGCTGTTGCCACTTTACTCTGGGTGTCTGAGCATTACACAAGAAAGGAAACCTTCCTTACATATATAATCATTAACCAAAAGTGCAAAATTCTTGAGTTATCTTAGTCATTGAACATCTGTAAATTTTTAAAAAGTTCTTTACTAGCTTATTCAATTAATAACTTATTAGTAAGACTTTGCTTGTTACCAATAATGTAGTACATGTTTTCTCCTGAGTCATTATGATTAAACATTCCCTGTCACTTAATTATATCCGTATGATTAGCTGTAGTGGTACATCAATAACCAAGGATGAAACTGCAAATGACACACAGATTAGTGCAGCTATGTCACTGGACAGTAGAACCTTATGAAACTATGTGCACACACTGGGCTGTTAAAAGACTTTTTTGAAGACACATAAGGGGAGATTTGGTGGCTGTGGCTGTAGCTGGGTGGTAGACACCTTTTGCCAAGCTGAATAAAGTCTTAAATTGCATCTCTACAATTGAAGAAATTAAGAGAAATTCTCTTTCATAGACCAGCTTTCTGACTCCTTTATTATGTCTTACAGCCTTTTATAGTACAGCCTTTGAATATGCATGGTAGCTCTCAAAAAGGGAACATTCGCTAAGAAAATAAAAAGCCTCACTTGACAGAACAGGAACATCCCTAGAGGTTTGCATGGTTGGACTTGAACCACACCTTCAAGGTCTTAGGAGAGTTTGTAATTTAAGGAAATCCTGTCATTTGTCTCTAGGCAAACGGAATTGCCACACTTTTTTTTGTTGTTTCCCGGTGCTTTTTGTTCTTTTGTATAACTCAACCTTTTCAAATGAAGTTTATATTATCTTAAGCCATGTTAATGTTTATTATATGTTCTTCATTGAAAATTCAGAGGAATGCGTATTTTAAGATTTCTGTGAACTCCCAGCAGAGTTCAGACAGCAGTGGAGCCCCACATGTTGACATGCAGGTCCCTCTGTTGTCGTTTTTGTAGGTAACTAAACTCAGGAGAAGAAAAGCGTACTGGGCTTCTGACTTGCCAACCGCACTAACATCTTTGATTGGCTCCTGTACACTGGGCACATTACAGGGGTTTTGAGGACTGTAAGTCTCTCTGTACCTGGATATCCCCAGCCACATGTTTATCCACTGGAATGACGTCAGCATACACTGGGGAAGTTAACTATTAAGTGGTTAGGATGAAAGTTCAGGAGCCCTGCCTTTAACTGGGACATGAGAATGGAAAAAGCCCATTGCCTCTTACCATCTGCTTTCCTTGAGGAAAAGGGTAAAGAAGAAACAACACAATCATAGGAAAATCTTCATTACAGAAGTGCTCTGGACGTCATTATGGAGGAGTTCTGCAACTCTACTTTTTGGGTGAGAATTTACATTTATTCTCATGTTTTCTCTTTGCAAACATGGTGATCAGTTATGAACCAGTAAACTTAGAAGTATATTTGATCTAAAGTTTAGTTTGTTTAAGAACAAAAGCTCAGTTTTTCCACTTGATCACATCATCTAGGGAAGACATTACTTTATTCTTCAGCTGTTTTAGCTGTTGATTTTCTTGGACTGCCTAGCTCCAGAAGCACCTTCTATAAGAGAAATGGAGAAAATGGATTTTCTTCAGTGCTAGGAATGGGGATTGTTGAATTACAGTTTGTAGGCAGGAGGAAGAGTAGAAGTCACATGTCTGAATCCTTTGAGAACGTTCTGACATTGAGATGATAATAGTATGTTCTAAAGGTATTGTCAACCAAGGGTATGGACAGTAAATTGAGACCAGGACTATAAATTTGGGCATTATGAGCCTCTCTCTATGGCTCTGGCTGGCCTGGAATGCCCTATTTAGACCAGGTTGTCCTTGAACTCACAGGGATTCAAGCCTCTGGACTGCTAGGCTTAAAGGTGTGCTCCACCACCATACCTGACCAGAGATACTTTTCTAATTATTAGAACTGGGTAACACTGTCTTTACAGGAAGAACAGCACTGAAGAAAGGGCCTTGTCTTTGGGGAGGGTTAGGGTTAAACAAGAATAGCCCATGCAGAGCACTTTCAAGACAGAGCACATCACCAAATGGCTTAGTAGATAGAAAGTGAGATTTTGAGTGTTGCCTGCAAACTCTTACATCGTGTTAGGTGAGTTTTCTGAATTCTAGATTCTAGAGGCTGGTGTCCTTCCATAGTGATGGGAGGAGCAGGAGTGACATTACAGACAGTCCTTAATATATCAGGAAGAACTTAAAATGCTAGGCCTCCAAGGCCAGGATGTGAACTCTATTAGAAGGTAGCAAATCATCTCTTGAGAACCCCCTCTGGGAATTATTCAACAAAGCATCATGGCAAGCACTGTAACCTTTCCTTTAAATCATCAGTGCCAATAGGTCTACAAAACCATTTGGAAAAAGATAAATCTACCTTCACTTGATTCCAATACAGGAACTGCTACCTACCCCCCAACTCCATCCCCAAGACTTTCATTTATTACATGCAAAGTATAAAATATGCTTCTTGTCATATGCATTGTCATATGCCTTGTCATTCCTGCACTGAAATGTATCATTTCCCCCTTGGTTTTGATATAAGCCTTCTCAGTCATAATAGTCTAAATGTCATAGTATGACTAAATACTCTCTGTCTGGTACCTGCGTGTTAGAATATCTGCCAGTGTGTTCAAATGGTGCTAGAGACCAGGTGACATGTTCCTATCACTGGGAAACTGTTCTTCCCTTTGGGCAGAGGAATAGTCTTTCTTTTTCCTATAATTTGGTAACTGTTTTAATGAGTTTATGCAGACTGGCCAGTGTAGAAATTCACTTAAAATCATATGAAGCTAAGTTTTAGAAGTGGGATTGCCAGAAAAGCCCCTAAATATCATTAAATGGTGACTTTGTTTTAATTGTATATAATTATTAATGATGAACACAAAAATAAAAGGTAAAGCTTGCTATAGACATGGAGTTGAATTCCAGCTGTTTGGAAGCATGTGGAGAATGTTGGAGAATGGACGTCTTTTAAAAAGTATGAATATGCATCCATTGGTTTTTCCTTTTGGTCCCCCAGAATTCCTCATTCCTGGACAGAAAAGATGCAGACCTGCCACTGTGTTTTGAACAAACTGTTCTCGTGTGGATTCCCTTGGGCTTTCTTTGGCTCCTGGCCCCATGGCAGCTTTTCAGTGTGTACCGATCCAGGACTAAGAGGTCGTCTATAACTAAATTTTACCTTGCTAAGCAGGTACAGTAGCTCGATTATTTTCAAACTCTAGTTTCTTGGTGTAGAGGTGAGGCACTTTCTTTTGGGTTAGTGTCTTTGTCCCAGTCTCTAACCAGTTGATGGATAATACTATTTCAAGCAGAACCATGCTGTAGTCCTACCTATGTCTCACTGGCCATATTTCTTAATCAAAGTAGCTCTGGTTTTGGTATAAGAAGAGCGACTCAGAATTCTTGTGGATATTAAGTTCCCTAAGCACAAATGAGGGATCAAATTAGCATCACCTTTTATGCATTTGAGATGTCAACAATGGATCACCCATCTTTAAGGTGCTCTGATAAAACATGGGGCTGTAATTAGTTGACACCTACCGTGAGTTGCAGATGAACTACATGGTGTTACCTTTTGCACCAATCTAACCATCACTTACTTCCTAAAACCTAGATCTTAAATGGGTTTTTACATTTTTCCAGAGTATTTACCAGTCAGGTGATCACACATGGTGGAAAGAAGAAGAGCTAGTATGCGTGTGACAAGCCAGATCAGGGGAGTAATGGGAGGAACATGGGCCATAGCAGAGATCTAGGAGGAATGAGAGGAGATCTCGGCCAGCTCTGGTAACCAACTCCACTGAGTGGTCCTGTGATGCTGTGAGGTTACGAAATCTACCACCTGCTTCTTGCGCTGCTTTTCCTCTCTTTCTTCTTCTGTCTGTCCTCACTTTTAAAGAGGTTTTTAGAAAAGCAAATTAGATTCCCTTGCTTCTACACCTGTAGCCAATTGTAGCCTGGGACTTAAAGGTGAAGAAAGCGGGAAGCACACACTCTTTAAACATCATGTTTAACTTGAAAGTGCAGATCTCTACAGAGAAGAGAAACCAATGTGTTACCAAACACACTCCTAGGCTACCCGTCTTAATCCAGTCTCTGGGGACTCATTTAAAATTTGTATTTTAATGTTTTGGTCCCTATTCCAAGAATGGCAGGCACAGATTTAACTTCTAAAAAAATAATCTCATAATAGCCGGGCGTTGGTGGCACACACCTTTCATCCCAGCACTCGGGAGGCAGAGGCAGGCAGATCTCTGTGAGTTCGAGGCCAGCCTGGTCTACAGAGCGAGTTCCAGGACCCTGTCTCAAAAAAACCAAAAAAAAAAAAAAACCCTCATAATAATTGCTTCCTCCTCTCCATAGCAGAAGCATAATTCATCCTAAAGTAACATCCACTTTTCCTGTCACAGTCTCCATTGAGACTTCCACTCCCTTTCTTCTCCGCCCCCTCTCCTCCCCACCTAGGGGCTGCTTTGTTCTTGGACTTCCCAGCACTGCTCTGGCTGTTTGGCATTAGCATGGTGCTATCTGGTCTTAACTCAGTCAATCTGCTTAAGCAACATCTGACCAACTGACTCCCCACACCTGTTTGTTTAAACACTCATCTTCAGGGAAGGACACAGAAAACAACAAGTGACAGAACAAACTGAATTTTAAAACAAATAATGGAAATGCTGAAGTCAGATTCAGAGGTACAGCAAAAACAACCTTGAGTCCAAACCTGTAAGGTATGGGGATAATTACAGAAATATAAGATAAAGCATTGCCCAACTTGTCCTGAAAAGTTCTAGCAAGCAAGACCAAGATAAGAGAGTGGGGTTATGCCAGGGTGAAAGGGTTTTGCTAAGTAAGCAGAAAAAGGTCTACTAAAAATGGCTGTCTCATAATAGATAGGGCTTCTGGGGGATATAATCCCTGAAAGTGTTGAAACTGAAATTAGGCGTTCTGTCTGTTAGCAGTAGAAGTGGTAGAAGTAGACCCCTCTAATAATAGGTAGATCTAGCTGGAGAGCCTCATCATTCATAAAGCATCGAGGAAAGGAGCATCTTGTAGTGGGATTAAATATGAGTGACTAATATTTTCCTCTTCTTTAATAGCAATGAGATGCATTGCTTTATAGAAAGTTGTGTTTTACATACGTACAAGTAACACTGTATGGACTCAACAGCTTACGTTTAGGAATATAAGTATATATACAAATACATGTATGCACACAATAGCAATTAATGAAAAAAAGAGGCCTTGACTTTGAAGGAGAGTTGGAAAGGATATATAGGCCAGTTGGGAGGGAGGAAGGGGAAGAAAGAAACGCTGTAATTAAATTATAATCTCAAAATAAACAACAGCAAGAAAAAGAGGCTGAGTTTTAAAGTCCTTGTCTGAATTCTGATAAATCAGAGATCAAGATAAAAAACTATTAGGTATTTAGTGAATCATTAAACAGCTGTGTGTTTTCCCCTTGCAAACTGAAGCGGGAGCATGTTTCTAGTGAAGAGAAGGAATAGTAGTTACTGTAGGAGGTGTGGTAACTCCAGAAAAATAGCAAGAAAATTAAATCCACTGATAATTATATCATTCTGATATATCCCAGTTAACACTGCCATGTATTACCATCTATTTTTTAAGGAGATGAAAATGTACAAATCAAAAGCAAAAATTTCCACTTCATCCTCCTACTTTGAAGTCCTGTTCCATGGAGGCCTCAGTTATAATGATTTGATGGTTCTATCTATATCTGCCAATGATGTACTCGCATATATATTTTTCATCTACCAAGTAATAAACGATGTACTTCTGCCGAGGAAATGGGTGTGGTGCTGTGGCAGGGGCTGGGGAGAAGGAAGTAACTGGCAGAGCTGCTAGTCCCCCACATTGTCATGTACACACACACACACACACACACACACACACACACACACACACACACACACTGGACACCAGGGTTCAGTCAAGCCTTCCAGTTCTTTCCTGTCCTGTTTCTTCTCACATTTCCAGTCTTTTTATTTTGGATTTTTTTCCCAAAACATTTCTCGTACTTGTTGCTTTCATACTTAAGTTTAAACTCTACCTCCTGAGGTACTTTTGGAAAGTATTAGATGATTAGTGCTCTCAGATTCCTCAGATCCTTCTACAGGAGACCATTAATCATCAAATAATGCTTTTAGAAAGGCTAATTGTGAAGACTCTAAATCTTTGCATCTCTAAGGTGCCCATAAGCTTCTGAAATTCTAGCTCCACAATTTTTTTTAGCTTTGAAGATTTTGCTATATTTTCCCTTAGAGTCTTGTGTTACTAAGAATTTTTATTCCTGTGATCCTCCCTAGATGATTTTTATTCGTTATAGTTTGAAATCTTACGAGTCTGATTTCATACATCTTTACCTAAAGGTTTTTGTTCAACCTAAAGACTCATAGTTTTCTTATTGCTGAGACTCTTTTATTTCCTTTCTTCTACTTGGAAATTCTGTGTCTTTAGAGTTCCTTTTAAATCGATGTTGAATTCTCTGATGGGTTTTTCTCCCCATTTTCTCTCTCTCTCTCCTTTTCAAATATTCTTTCTTTTTTCTCTATATGCTAGGAGATTTTTCCACTGATTTCTCCAGTTGTCCTAAGAATCTTTATTTTAATATTCAGCAATCATTAATATTTTTCTTAATTTCTGGATATACTTTTTCTTTAAAATCCACCTGTTTAAAACATATGTCTTCTCAAATCTATCTTAGAGTATTAATTTTAAAATTCTCTTCACTTACTATTTTCTGTTTGATCCAGGAATCAATTGTTCTATTTAATTATCTTGTCTACCTTCTTTGCTTACATTGTTTTTCTCAATTTCCTAGCAACTTTGAGTTTCCTTTGCATTTATAAATAAAAGTCTTAATTAACATAGATCTTCTTTTTTTGTATATGTGTTAACTTCCACACTGGCCTTTCCCTGATATGAAGCCTGATATTGAGCTCTGAGCCCTTGACAAGAGTCTGGGTTCCCTCACCAACTCCCCTTGGGGGAGAAACAGCCTAGACTCTACCTGTCTACCCCGTGTATAGGAAATGAAGATGAATTTACTCTGGGTACCAGTGGCCCCACTGTATTCCAGGCCTCCCCGGGACAGCATCCATGTTTTTTGGAGAGCTCTTCACTTGCTTTAGTGATCGATGTGTTCAGTGGGATCTAAGTCACAGAGTGGTCCTCTGGGAAGATGGATGCCGCTGTCATAACTGACCAGTTGTGAAAGATTCAGCCCTCTTCTGCATCACTGAAAAAACATTGCTGAGATTATAGTTAATGTGTCATAAAACTCTCTAAGATGTGAAATTCGATGACTTTTAGAGTATTTTCAAAGTTATGTGACTAGTTCCAAGATGATTCATCACTCTCAAACCAACCCTGAACCCAAGCTATAACTCTTCATTTCTTCTCCACTCCCATCTCACCCCCAGTCCCTGGTAACTGCTAACCTGTTTTCTGTCTATAGAATCTCTCTACTCAGGACATTTCACTCATGAAAGATTATATAATATATAGCCTTTCGTGTCTAATATTTTAGTTAACAATGTACTTTTAGGTTTATCTATGTTGCAGCATGAATTAGTATTTCACTTCTTTCTTTCTTTCTTTCTTCCTTTTATTTGTTTTTTTGAGAGGGGGTTTCTCTGAGGCTTTGGAACCTGTCCTGGAACTCACTCTGTAGACCAGGCTGGCCTCAGACTCACAGAGATCTGCCTGCTTCTGCCTCCCAAGTGCTGGGATTAAAGGCGTGCACCACCAATGCCCAGTGTGTATTTCACTTCTTTTCAGGTTTACTTTTATAATTGTAAATACAAGGCTGCCATTCATTATTACTGGTCACTCTAGAACTTTTCACCATTCCCAAAGAGAAACTTGGGTTTCTTCTTGCTATCTCCTGTCCTAGCCCCTGACAACAACAAGTCTACTTCCAGTCTCTAACTGTACTTGATTTGTCTATTTCATATATAAATGTAATTATATACATATGTATGTATATATATATATATATGGTGTGTGTGTGTGTGATATTTAGAATGTGTGCCCTTTTGTGTATGGCTTCTTTCAAATAGTGTAACACTTTAAAGACTTATCCATGTTTTCACTTTTGTCTATATTACATGATGCTGTTAGGAACATTTATTTATTAGATTTCTAGTAGACAGAGGTTTCCAATTTCTTAGGTACATCCTTAGAAATAGAATTGCTGGATAATCTTTTGAGGATCTTACAAAATTCCAAAGCACCCATACAGTTCTGTGTTCCATTAACCATATAGAAAGTTTGTAATACTAATTTTCACCAGGAATTATTACTGTCCATCTTTTTCATTTTGGCTAGATGAAGTGGTATCTTGTAGTTTTGTTTTTTTAATTATTCCTGTGTGTGAGAGAGAAAGTGAGTGTGTATGTACATGTGTGTGCAAGTGCAGAGGCCGGAGGAGTGTGTTGGAGTCTCTGCTCTGTGACTCTCGGCCTCACTCCCTTGAGACAGGGTCTCTCACTGTAGCTGGAGCTAGACTGGCCGACAGGAGTCCCCACCAAGCCTCTTGCTTCTCCCTCCCACCCTCACCCTTAGTGACAGGGCTAGAGATCCACACTGCAGTATGGGGTTTAGCGTCTGTAGGCTGTGACCACACTGTAGGCTTGAAGAAACGAGATGTAAGGTGGATCTGGTATGACAGGCAGAGATACCAGCATGGCAGCAGTGAGATCTAGCTCAGATTCGATGCTGTCTTTTTA